TGGTCCTCTTAGCCATGATATTTAAGTTTGAAAAGCATGTAGCTACTGTCCTGGAATCATAGAGTAAGTTACATTGGAAGGGACCCTGAAGTTCAACAAACACAACTCAAGGCAGATCCATCTTCCAAGGTATATTCAAGTCTGCAGCTAGATCAGGCTGGTCAGTGTCTTCTCCAGTCAAGTTCTTAATTTCTCCAAAGATAGAGATGCCACAACATCTCTTGGTCATTTGTTCCAAAGTTTATCCATCGTCACTGGGGATTTTTTTCCCTAATGTCTAATCAGAACTTGCCTTGTTGGAACTTGCGCCTGTGGACTCCTATCTGTACCACTGTGTACATCTAAGTTCGGCTTTTACTTCTCTAGAACTACCCATTGAGTAGTTGAAGTCAAAAGTAAGATCCACACTTTCACCTTTTGTTTTTTATACTGAACGAACCAGTCTTTCAGCTTTTCCTTGTATGTCACATGATCCAGCATCTTGATGGCCCTCCACTGGACTTGCTCTAATATGTCTCTTCTTTTGAGAAACCCAAAACTAGACAATATTCTAGTTGCATTAATTTGATTATTAGTCATTTATGACTACCACATGGTAGTAAAGCACTGAAAAGCTGTGGCTGAGCTAGTAAAATCTGAGATAAACTGGGTCAGTACATGCTCATTTAAAGCAAAACTTAGACTAATTTGTTGCCAGACTGGGGATGAAGTAGGAATTTTCCTTCTGTTCAAAGTATCGGAAATATTGAACATTTTGCCTTCCAGTGTAGCCTGATCAAAGTTTGCTGGGAACCACTTATGTATTTCTTAGCAATATAGACCTCTAAGATACTGGTAAAGGCATTTTTATATGATATAGCTTTCACTTCTGGAACTAAAATCTCTCAGTTGTTATGTGGGCAGGGAAAGCATAATGGATGCTCCTTTCAACCTTCTTAGATTCAGTAGGCAATATGTGATTGCCAGAGTTCTCTGAAGTGTATATTTAAAGTACCAGATAGTCTGTTCTTCTCCAAAGTTTACCTCTTCTCCCCATCCATAGCTATTCTCTTTTTCTGAACTACTATTTCCTGCTAAAGGTTTCTTTTGTACCAGCTGCTTCTAAACAATCAATCTGACCTTTTAGTTGCACCATTTCTTGTTCTTCTCATCTCTCATTTCTATCCCTCTTTTGCTAGAAATTGATGACACTTAGGGTTACCAAAGGGAAATGGTTTTACGCTGTTATTTGGCTAGTTACCACAATCTCTGGCATTTTTTTCCCTTTACCTTGAATCTGTGATGAGATACTGTTATAAGTGATAGTTCTTCCACACAATTATCTACACATAAGAGCCAAGTTAGTTAACATGCACATAGGTTTTGGCTTTCATAGGCAGTCATTGCATAGGCTTCCACCCACAGACTTAACAAACAGCACATTAATCTTATGTTAACACTAAAAAAGAAAAAGATTCGGGAAACCATAGAGAAGGTTCACTGGCATGAGACCTGTTCAAAACATGGTAATCCTACCTGTCAGGACAGCATATGCTTGCTGAATTAGGTTGCAATACCTACAATATATCTGTTCAGTTCTCCAATGTATGTCCAATGCAACTCCAAGGCAGAACAGGACCAGTAGCTGGAATGGATGTTAATGATCAGCAGATACTCTGGGATAGGGCGTAGGTGTTCATAATGAAGGCAGTCCATGTTCTGAGGAGCAGAAGAGATAGGCAGGTGCCAAGCCCATTTTACTGTTCATCTCTGTGAAGCAATTGGAAGAACCTTTCCTTGGCAGGTGAGGCAGAGAGACTTCAGAAAGCAATCCTTTAAAGTCTGCTGAAGCAAGCCTAAGTCAGACCTGCTATTAGCTGGTGGTAGTTAACAACAGCATCAAAGCACAATTCCTCCATCTTTGTAACTTTTTCTATAAATACTGAAAAATTTGTTCTACTCAGTTTCAGCATAATATGACAGACATCTTCTCCATCACTTCTAGCAATAATCCTGAGCTCTGCCTAAAGCTGCTACAGTTGTTGGGTGTGCTATTCTTATGGGAGCATTCACCCTAAATATGAGTTAGACAAGCGTATTTTGGCATGTCTTCTTGTATAACATAATTTACAGGGATTTCTCAGTTTGAGATAGAATGTTTACATTTGGCTTTGGAAAGTGACATTATAGATGACACACTTGTCAAGCACAATGACCTTTGGTAGTTTCAGGGAAAATATGCTGTGATGAGATTCTCTTTCTATTACATTTCTTTTCAAATAACAACATATGGGGCCTCTTTGTGTCCTGAAGAAACACTATGTGTAGTGCAAACATTGCAAGGCTAGCGGTAACTGAATAGCTCCAGAAAGCAAAAAGCATTTTCCACAAAACCTTTACTGAGCCTGTTTTCAGGGATACAGGACTACCACAAAGGTAGGAGAAAACTCTAAATGATCAGTGGTCAGTTGGTAAATATTTCTACACAGAAAAATGATAAATGGAAATGTGATAATAGAGTTCTGCCTCATCACTAAGGAGGCGATGTTGCTATGCATTACATTGCTGATTCTCGGGAATTCACTAGTAAATTTACACACACCGTGTTTCCTAACTGGAGGGATCCAATATTCCTTTGGGTTTGCTCTGCTCTGATTTTAGTATCAAACTTCATAAACAGAAAGTAATATTCTTCCATTGTGTTCCAAGCATGCCTGAACACTTCTCATGAAGTTCACATGTCCAGGCAGCTTTACCTGGAGGAATTCACAAAAAATCCCACCTGTTCTTTGCTATTAACTCCTCACCGTACAGAGTCTTCATAAAGAAACTCTGTGCTACCTCAGCAGCTGAATTGCCTTTGGGACAATTCCAGCATGAAGAAGCCACAACAGCTGGATATCACCATTCTCTTTTCAACCCTGCAATAGCATTATAAGGCTATTTTAAGGCTTAAGCAATACTATAAAATTGTTCAGACTTCTAAATTTGCACTGTGGTGAATTCGGGTGCTTTTGTATATTTCTGAGGTAAAATAATCACAAAGGATGCATTCATTCCAGGCATGATTTAGTCCAAAATTGCTGTCCCTACAACGGACATAAAGTGTTCAGCTTTGAAGTATTTCTAATTATGGACCAGGGCATAGCCACTGCTGCTGCACTGAAACAACATAATTTTAAATTGCAAAGGTCAGATTAATAAAAAAGAAAGACATTTTGTTAGAGTATTATTAGTGTTTAAAATTCTCTCATACGGTTTTTCCAGTCTTTCCTTATTTTCCAATATGCAAGAGCAAAGCACTCTTATTTCTTTCCTAACAAACATTTCTTGCTATGGTGTTATAAAGGCATGCTGGAAACTACCCCACTGAAAGATCCAAGCACACAGGATTCTGCCAATCTGTCATATGTGAGAAACAGAACAGTCAGAAAACAAGCACCTACTGAGACCTGGGGCTAGACTGAAAGCCCAGGACAGGAAACCAGAGTTATGACACTGTTTCATAGAATCATAGAATCACAGAATAGTTTGTGTTGGAGGGGACATTAAAGATCACCCAGTTCCAACGCCTTGCTCTAGGCAGGAACACCTTCCACTAGACCAGGTTTGCTCCAAGCCCCATCCAAGCTGACCTTGAACACTGACAGGGCTGGGGCACCCAGAGCTGCTTTGGGCAACTGGTTCCAGTGTCTCACCACCCTCAGAGTGAAGAACTTTTTCCTAATATATAATCTAAATCCACCTTTTTCAGCTTACAGCCATCCCCGCTTTTCCTATCCCTATCTGCCACTGTGAAAAGTTTTTTTCCAGATTTCTTTTTGGCCCTGTTAGGCACTGGAAGCTGCTCGAATGTCTCACCAGGGCCTTTTTTTCTCCAGGCTGAACATCCCTATCTCTCTCAGCCTGCCTCCAGTCCTCTGATCATCTTTGTGGCCCTCCTCTAGATATTATTTACAATTAATTTTATACCTACATGCTGGCTGACGCGAAAGTTGACATCTCTTCAGACTGGTTGCATTCTAAAACGTAGTAAATGCTGCCATCTAATGGTGTCTGATCATTGAACAAAGAATATTACAGTAGAAATTGAGCAATTACCTTATTGTTCCTGCTATTGGTTGCCTGAGAACGCTAAATCTTTTCTGATTCCCTGAAAAAAGGAAAGCACTTACACTTTTCTTATACTTTATAGTAGCTATTTTTTTTAAATTATACTGCTGTGGTTTTACCCCTCTAATAGTGTCTTGTAACAAACTGAAACTGAACATACCCCTTACAAAAGAGACAAAAAATATGTTAAACATCTGAACACTTTTATTGAAGAATCTAATAGTCCTGTTTCACTGGTTCTGAGGCCACCATGACATGTCACCTGACCAACATAAAGTGCAAAAAACCAGTAAAGGTAATATTAATACACATTGTTCATACATAGGTTTGTGGTTTTTTTCCAAAAGCAATGAAATAAATGCTTCCTCTAACTTTAATAAATGTTGTCTTGTAAGATATACCATGAACTCTTTTTCAGATTGCTAATACTTTCTATCACATTTGGATGAACTATATTGATGAAATGTATGTACAACAATCCTTAAGATTTTCCGAAACAATACCTCCTGCATAACATCCTTTGATTTTGGTAACTTGTTATCACAACTTTCATTCACCAAATGATAGATAGAACAAATCATATACAATTTTAAGCACAGACACCTGAGGATTATATGTTACATTCACTCAGGTGCATATATAAAGACACCTCAAAAATTCTTAAGAATAAACAAATCCATCCAATGGTACTAGGAGGAAGATGGTTCCAAGCAACATAGAAATTAGTGATTGATTATACTAAAGTGTCTTGAATAAGCTCTTTTACATAAAATGCAGTAATTATTTTACTACAATAACTGATTTTTCAAACCAGGCTTTATCTCTAAAGAGATACACATTGTTCTACAGACTTGTGTAGAACAATGTCTACATTGTTTTTACAGTTACAACAGATCTACGGGTTACTTCTGTACACACAGAAATATGAAGTAACACAAAAAACAACTGCTGTAAAAATTAACTCACCTCCTCCAGTAGCTGAGGAAAAAAAAAAATCCAGTTTGATTTTCCTCTAATATTTGACTTAGTTGTTCAAACCTTAATTGTTTCAAGGAGCATTTGCAAAATAGCACAAGCACAATACTTAAAGGTTGCCAGCATTTTTCAGAATGTAAAGTATTATGCTTCATCTGAATATTTTCTCCATCTGAAAATAACTGATACTGATTTAGTCAAAAATGCTGCAGCCTGGGGCAACCTTGTGTGTCCACATTATTGCTATCTGTTTCAGCAATACCATCATAAAATAAAGGGAGAGATATGGAAGACGCTGTCCATGATTTGTCTAGCTTCCTATCATTATCTTTATTAAGCATTGATGCAATAAGACTTTCTTTCTTACATGTACTTTCTTCAAAGACAGCACTGTTGTAGCGTTTACGATGGTATAAGAAAGGTTTCTTTTTAGAAGAGCGCTTCACCAAATACCTCCTGAAGGCCTTTTGAATAATACGAGCTGATACTTCCTCTTGTTTCCTTTTAAGGGTAGTAGTAATTGGCTTGCAAGAAGTTTTAGCTGGATCATCAGCCATAAATTTTTCTTCAATGTGCATTTCAAGATCACGCAAATCTCCAGATTCTCCCCAAACCCTTTTAGAGAAAGCAAGCAAGATATCCAAGCAGTGGATCTTATCTCCACTAACTAGAGGGAGGTCCATGGACATGAGCTGAATTTTATTAGGCTTTGGAATGCGTAAGGGTTCTGCCAGAGCATCTGCAAAGTCTGAAAGAGCAGAATATTCAATAAACTGTGTTGCCTGAGGATCAAATTTTCCCCAGGTCTCATAAAACATATCAAAGTCATCCTCACAAAGAAGACCTGTGCTTTCTTCAGTGGCAACATTGAAGTTTTCTAAAATGACAGCTATGTACATATTTACAACAATAAGAAATGATATAATGACATAGCTTACAAAATAAAAAATACCAACCCCCCTACTTCGGCAACTTTTTTTCTGTTCACTTGTTAAATTTAAGTTGGGAGCACATGAATTAGATTCTTTTAACAGAGGGGCCAGAAGACCATCCCAGCCAGCTGATGTTGTAATTTGGAAGAGACAGAGAATGCTACTATCAAAAGTTTGAAAGTTGAAAAGGTTATTAATTCCACCTTCCCAGCCAATGCAGGCAAAGTTTGTCATGCCCACAACAGCATAAATGAACATAACCAGAAAAAGCAAAAGACCAATGTTGAACAGTGCAGGAAGAGACATCAGTAAGGCAAAAAGCAGAGCTCGAATTCCTCTAGCTTGTCGGATTAATCTCAGGATTCGGCCAATTCTTGCCAAACGAAAAATTCTCAGAAGCGTAGGGGAGAACAAAGTCTGAAAGCCTTCAGCAAGTCCAGTACCTTTGAAATTAAAAAGAAAACAGAATGTTGTCAAGCCATATCAGTGAAATTCCCTATTTATGTCTATTTTGCTATGTGCAATGCTTTAGGTGTTGAAAATAACTTTGAGCATATTACAAAACTTTCACCAAAAATATTATCATCAATATTGCAATTGCTTACGAAAGAGCTTAGGAAAAGGAAGACAAATTGTAATAACTTTAAATCTTGAAGAAGTATCAAGATTTCATATAGTTTGGCAACTGCATTCTCCCAGTTTTCTCTAATTCAGGGGATAAAATTACACATTGCTTAAGTACTAAAAAGTCCTTTAAAATCCATTCAGCTCCTGTGCTGGAAGCTATGGGGCTTGTCTCCTAGCTGCTGCCTGATTGCTGCTTCTTCTACAGGCATAAGCCACATGTTAAATGTGAGACTTTTATTAATGCTTGGTACTTAAATGAGATCAGAGAAGAGCAAGAAGAAAATAAATGAAAACTGTCTTTCAGTATTCAACCTTCATCACACCTCATTCTATGATCCTACTATCAGAATAATTATACAGTAGTAATGTAAGTGATTACAAACAGAGGACTTAAGAAGTCAGCATTTTCATAGAATCATGTTTGGTTTGGAAGGCACCTTAAAGGTTGTCTAGTTCCAACCCACCTGCCATTGGCAGGGACACCTTCAACTAGATCAAGTTGCTCAGAGCACCATCCAAGCAATTTTTCTGGGTTGCATGGTATAGAAAAGGGGAACTGTGCTTAGAGATGAGGCAGAGAACTCAGATCAGGTTCTTTCCCATCCTTTTTTCTATGACATAACCTGAGCTTGGTAGGAAGCACAGACAAATAAACCATACAAGAAATTAAAGCTGTATATGAACCTTTGTAGGGGAAATGATATGCATTTAGTCTTAGTTGAAAAGCAAAATAAAAACAAGCCAGTTTTTATGACTTTCACAGTCACCAACAGTGGCCTGGATTTAGAATGGTGCAGAACAATTAAATTTTCCTGAGCTTTCTAAATCAGTCCTCAGGATCTGCTTTCTTAAAAGAAGGTCCTGGAAAATAAAATAAGTCTTTTCCATTTTTCATACAAATGTATTTTTAACCTGAATTTGCTTTTACTGTGAAAACAATGGTTAAGGTGATTACATGTAAATTGAAGGCATAAAAACATCAAGAGAAAAATTTAAGTACAGTAACTTAGAAAATATGTTACTCATTAGATTCCTATTCTGTTAATTACTCAATAAATCTCATACTTAAAAAAAAAAGCAAAAAGTTGAAAACTATCCGTTTACCTTCTAGCACTCTGCAAAAATATAAGGAAAAACAACAATAAATCCTTTTAGAAAGGATCACTCAGCATATGGTTTGAAAAAGTACAATGGATCTGGAACTTGTTTATCAGATACATAAGTGGTTACTTCATACTGAAATTTGGCTTAGTATTGCTAAGACATATTACCTGATCTAATAACGATTAATACTTACTAACTAGTGAAAGGATCACAACAGCTAAATCAAATATGTTCCAGCCACAGGTGAAAAAGTAATGTCTTAAGGCTAGTATTTTTATGACACATTCCCCAGTAAACACTGCCACAAAAAACAGGTTGATCTTATTAAGAACATCCTTGACGTTGTCCTGGTTATTTTCTGCCATCATAATGACCATATTTAGACAGATGAAAACTGCAACGGTAATATCAAATGCTTTGTGCGATACTATATCAAACAGCAATCCTTGGAACATATTCTGCAGAGAGAATGAGAAGAGCTGCTTAATGCTACTTGTAAGACCCAGACTACATTCAAATATAAATCAGTAACTTATGCTTAGAAAGAGAATTTAAGAGAATATAAATTTAACTATAAGCTCCTACAAGCATTTTTAGGTCATTTCTTTAGACCTTCGAAGAAAACACTCAGTATTTGGAGAAATATTTGCAGGCATCATGCAACCACATTCCCTTAGAAAATAATTATTCAGGATGAAAGCATTCAGAGTACATAGTGATTGCTCTTTTAATAGAATTAGTTATTGAAGCAGAGATTTTAGGATAAGCAATTTGAACTAAAATGTCGTAATCAAGAAAACCTCTGAGCAGTTACTATGTGAACCCAGGCGTGGACTTAAATTTAAGAACCTATATGAAATGGAGCGTAAGATTATTGGAAGTAACAACCATTTGGCATGTACTACTCCCTATTTATTCTCACTTGCAATAATCCAATCTAGTTGCAGAAGTAGTGTCATGCAACTCAGATCTCAAGATCATATGGACATATGAGCATGGATTTATGATTATCAAATATTTAATATGAACCTTTATAAATAATTTGTACATTTGAATAGGCGATAAACAGGCTGTGAAATTCTTTAATTAATGCCCACAAAGAAAGGCTGCATTAGATAGATTTAAGAAATAGAGAGTAAAATGTAAACGCTATATTGAATGAGGAAGATGGTGGGTTCTAACATGAATTTTATTCCAGATGCCTGGCTATTGAGTTTGAATATGGTCACCATCTTTGTATCTTTGTCATATTCTACTTAAGATGGTCTCACCAATGGTTTTGGGATGAGTTTTTGAGGTTTCTTTGATCCAAGTTTTTTTAGGGCATTATAATACTTTTTCTGTTCCTCAGTCAAAAATATATCTTTTCCACCTAAGTAAAGGAAAAAATACCGTTGTTCAGCTGAAGTTTAAGCAGTCAACTAAATAAACACTAACAAGTTCATGTGAAAAAAAAAAGTAAGTTACACCACAGCACATTATGTCCAGTATATAAATTGCGGGGAGTTACACAGAAGGGACCAATGGCTGCTTGAGTCAGGCTGGGTTATCAGTCAGCAGGTGGTAAGCAACCGTATTGTGCATCACTGCTGGTTATTACTGTTTTTTTTTCCTTTCCCCTTTTGGTTTAATATTCCCTCTGCTTGTTAGTCCCCTCATCGTTGCTATTATTAGTAGTAATATGTTTTACTTTATTTTAGTTATTAAACTGTTCTTAACTCATGGCATTTACATTCTTTTGATTCTCCTCCCCATCCGTCCAGGGAGGAGGGAAGAGGGGGTCGTGAGCGAGCGTCTGCATGGGACTTAGTTGTTTCAAACCATGACAATGTCAAACTAACATTCACAAAATGATATTGGGATTACTAGAGACCCTGAATTAGCTCATGCAGTACTTATCTTTTTCCTTTGTTGGTTGAAATTGCTGATAACCACTCCGATGAAAAGGTTCAGCATGAAGAAAGATCCAAAAATAATGAAAATCACAAAATACATATACATGGCTGGGAACGCTTCAAACTTTGGCTGTTCATCTATCTGTTAAAAAAAAAAAAATCAAAACAGAAAAATAATATTGGTAAAAATCAGATAATCGCAACTTTATCATTTTCAATTTATAATAAAAAATTCTATTTCTACACATTGAAACCTTTATTTAGATCTGTAAGTAGAACTGTCTTGTTCTGTCTTGTTACTGTTTGTAAAGATAATTACAAAGATACAAAACCCAATCCAGCTCTAGTAAATTTAATACTACTTAAGTAGTAAATGAACAGTTGCAATCAGAAGTGATACTGTGAATTTCCTACACAGAACAACAGCTCAGACTAAACATAACAGTGAACCTCCAACCCCTTAAACACTGTCTCAGACAAGACGCAATTTTGAAAATCCAGCTCACTACGATCGGCCCTAAAAGGAACAAACTTTTTAACTAGCAGCTAATTCAATAGATTGAAGCATACAGTGCCTGAATGAATAAGGAAAATGCAAATAAATTTAAACATACAAAAGTTAAAAGACACTGTACCAACAAGAGAGTGAGAAACAGCACATAGAAATGGGGAAGAAATAATAAAGGTGTCAAATATAAGGAAAAAAAGCTCCAGAAATAACTGCTAAAGATGCATGCCCATTCCCTCCAAGATCTTCTGAACTCTGTTTCCAAAACAGATTAGTCCAAAACTTGCAGCCTCTTCCCTCTGCCTTCTCGATATAGTAAGTTTTAGTGTGGTATCACTCCATTTTGACCAGTTTTCTCTTGTCTAAAAATTCCTGATATTTAGTACTCCAAGGATTATCATTTCACTGTGTAGCTTGATGCATTCATCTGCTTGTATTTCTGATATTGTAAATAAAGCTGAAAAATGAATGGTATGGATAGAAAAGGAAAGAAGGAAAGGGAAAATAATTAACATTTCATTTTAGTGACATACCTGACGAGAATCCACTGCTGCATACATAATATCCATCCAACCTTTAAAAGTTGCCTGGAAAAAAAACCATAAATTAAAATTTTTGTAAATTTCCTGCTTGTTAAAAAAGCAGGACAAGATTCAGCCTAACTAGTAAATATATCCTAAAAGTATAAAAACAATTTCTAAGAAAACAACAGACAATTCCTTCCTGCAATTTTTAGCAGCTCTGCAGAATCATGGAACACTTTGGAGAATATACAGCAATGAACTTCATTTAGAAAAGATACAGGCATAACAACCACTTTTAAAAAATGTCTTTCTCTGCTTTGTTGTGTTGTTAGGGAGATCAATAAATTAGCATCCCAATACTTTATGACTTATACAAGAAAATAAAATATAGAAATATAAATTGCATTGAACATTTTCATTCTTATCCACTCTGAACTAACTTTTATTAAAGAAAATGAGAATAACTTTAAATCCAGTAATATGCAGATTATTTCAGGCTTAGTATATTAATCAAAATAGAAACAAAATTGAAAAGCCATCAACACAGTGCTTGATTTTAACACAAGATTTCTTAAGTGTTCTGAGCAGCTTATAGATAAGAAAAATATTATGGAAGCTAAAATCCCCCAATTTCAGTGAGATAAACAGAAGTGCAGTGGTATCGCATGGTTGGGCTGCTCAACTCATTTCCTTGAAGAAAGCAAAACTGTGCATGTTTTTATAGAACTTACCACTTGGAGGAGAGCCAAGTATCCCATCCCAACATTATCAAAGTTCACATCAGTATTTGTCCATATGCCATTAAAGTGAGTACAATCATTTCTGTTCCAAACTGAACTGATGCTTTCTTTTGAGAGTGTGCATTTCCAAAATTTTTTTCCAAATAATTTTACTCCTGCAATGTTAAATAGGAGCCAGAAGACAATACAGACGAGCAAAACATTCAAGATTGAGGGGATGGCTCCCAAGAGTGCATTCACAACAACCTTAAATAAATAAAAGGAATGAAAAGAATGGATTATTTACATTCAATAGAACACTTTCCCAGAAAAATATTTTTCTTCTCCTGTATCTACTGCAGATTCTTACCCATATAAAAACTAGCAGATGACAAACATAAAGCTGGCTTTCAGCTCAACTTCAATCTTGTCTTAACATGTAATTCTGCAGTTTCTATCTTGCCTTTTTGAGGAAGGAAGTAAACCAGATGGCAGCCAGAATTATCTTTGGGTAAAACAAATACCTAAGATTCCGAGTCTGTAGTACCTAAGGGATCTAAAAGTCAGGTATAGGGGAACGGGTTCACAGAATCACAGAATTACTAAGGTGGGAAGGGACCTCTGGCAACCATCTAAGTCCAACCCCCCTGCCAAGGCAGGGCCACCTAAAGCAGGTTACACAGGAACACGTTCAAGTGGGTTTTGAATGTCTCCAGAGAAGGAGACTCCACAACCCTCCTACGCAGCCAGTTTCAGTGCTCTGCCACCCTCAACACTGAGTTCTTCCTTACGTTAGAGTGAAACTTCTTGTGTTTTAGTTTATGGTCATTGCTCCTTGTCCTGTTGCTGAGCACCACTGAAGAGAGTCTGGCATCATCCTCCTGGCACCCACCTTTGAGATATTTATATGCACTAATGAGATCCCTTCTCAGTCTTATCCAGACTAAACATGCCCAGCCCCCACAATCTCTCCTCATAAGAGAGTGGCTCCAGACGCCTAAACATACTTACAGCCCTCTGCTGGACCCTCTCTGGTTGTTCCTTGACTTTCTTGCACTGAGGAGCCCATAACTGGACAGAGTACTCTAGATGTGACCTCACCAGGGTCAAGTAGAGGGGTAGGATCACCTCCCTCAACCTTCTGGTCACACCTCAGGATACTATTGGCCCTCCTGGCTGAAAGGGCACACTGCTGGCTCATAGTCAACTTCCCATCCACCCATACTCCCAGGTCCTTCTCTGAACTGCTCTCTAATAGGTCAGCCCCCAACCCCTACTGGTACTTGGGGATCTTCCTCCCCATGTGCAATACCCTACACTTGCCCTTGTTGAACCTCATTAGGTTTCTTTCTTCCCACTTCTCCAGCCTATCAAGGCCCTGCTGAATGGCAATACATCCCTCAGGTGCATCACCCATTCCCCCCAGCTTCGTATCATCAGCAAACTTGTTGAAGGTACACTCTAGCCTATTATTTACCGTAATATCATAAATATCCCTTTCTTTTATCTTGGAGGGGGTTTGCAAGAGAACAACTTGCTCTACGTAAAGAAAGTGAACCTCACCCAATAACCACTGGCAACTGACTGCACACATTACATAAAGTAGAAAATCTGGCTTCCAAAAGGCAGTTTTGGTCAGCAGTCTTCCTTCATTTAGACTTGCTTGAGGATAAGGAAAATGCAAACCCAGGGTGACCAGTAAGCCTCTTCCAGAAATGGTACCAGTGAAAATGGTATTCCAGCTTTTGGAGCTTGTGCCGGTGACACCAAGGGACCTGACACAAGCAGTGATAAGAACTTGTAGTCGCAAATCCAGCTCATTAATGCTGAAAGGCAGGACCATGATTGTTGCCAGTGGGAATTTGAGGACTACTATCTATTTATTTTTTTCACCAGTCTTCACCCGTCTGTGAAGATCCCAATGATCTCTGCATATTGAACTTTTCAGTTCAGTCAATCCAAACCAGATATAACAGATATCTAAGACAACAGATGGCTCTTCTCTCCCTCAGCTGTCTCATCATAGAAGACTATCAGGTTCGATGGCTGCTTGTAACTGATTCCTTCTTGCCCTTAATGGCCTTTCTCCCCACTGACTTTAAGATTCAGTTCACTTACAGCAGATTTTAAAATCAAGATACAACAATCTCCTATTAAGAAAATCCCACACTGTTTAAGTTTGAAAGGATTGTTGTCTTTCAAATCCACCCTGGAGAACCTGAAATGTGGCACATGAGCCTGTCCAGGTAATTGCCAAGACGAAACTGGAAATATAGAAAGATGTTCCAGTGTTCACATTAGTATACATAATGATTCCTTGTGGTAGCACATTATTATTCAATTTCCTTATTTCATTTGTACTTACAAATTTCTGTGAAAGCGTTAAGTATTATTTCAAATTAACAGCCATACATATAAGAAGGCAATCTGAACCATCCTAATGTCATCAAGTCCCAAAAAGAGATTCACGGTTTAATTTTCACAAAAAAAAATCAAATGCAGCTATTAGAGAATATGCACACACACCTCCAATATCCTTACCTTGATCCCTTCAAATCTTGACAAAGCTCGGAGAGGCCTCAATGCTTTAAGAGTCCTGAGAGATTTCAGGGCATTCTCAGAGGAACAAAGTGATGAGGCAGGAGTAGTACTTAATCCCCAGGAAACAAATGACAGCTGTGTTCATTGAATTGAAACTGAGATTATTGAATGGTATACAAAAATTTATTTTATTTGCGTCAGCAGACAATCATAACCTGAATGTTCCAGTAAGTCTTCTTTGACCAGCAAGTCAAATGAAGAAAATACACATTCAAAGCTATCATAGTATAATTTCACTTTGGTATTTCCTAATATTTTAAAAATAATGGGATAAATTCATTCCAATTTGAAACACACTTTTCTTTTTTTTCCCTAAAAACAGTTCTTGTAATTTTTTTCAGAATGCTGGTACAGCAACCAAATTGGTAACTATGGTAGTTTCATACACTACCAGACCAGAAAGGACTGTTCAAATAAAATATTCCCATTTTCTGCATAGTTATTCTTGGAAGCGTATACAGTAATTAGTTATCATAAGTTAAGATGGTGATGTGGAAATAAAAAATATTTTTTAAAAGATAGCGATTCTTTATTTTATTTTTTGTAAAAGAAAAAAATGAACTGTAAAGATTATGTTTCATTATTGTTTCAATAATTCAGGCTTTTTCACTGTTCATGATTTGCCTCTTCCTATTTGAATTTTTTTATCTCATAGTCTAGCCTTTGTATATTTGCGTGCCTTTCTTCCATTCTGAACGGCATTGTTATTAATGTTGCAGAACTGTAATTGCTAAAGTCCTGCTATATATTCTTCATAAATAATCATATTAGATTTTTCTGCTGATTTTCCTAGTACTTTGCAACTTTCAATGCTAACTACTCAGAGGCTATCAAGCAGCTACTCTGATGTTACCAGAAGTCAGCTGCTCAGATGTATTGGGAAGATACTGAAATATTTTTCAGTTTTATATGGCAAGATTATATTATTTAACTTTGAGTTCATAATAAATATGTATATATCGAACACTCCATTACCTCCATTTCAGTATTGATGATTTCAGCATTTCTCTTTACAGCTATATAAAGGATTGCTAGCATTTCTTAGAACTGCAAAGCAAAACATACTTTTCTATGTCTTTAACTCTCTGGCTAATTACTTTTCCAATAATGCTTTTCAGCTCTTTATACCATCCAAATTTTTTCTCTTTAAAGAAGAAAATCTACTTTTTTCTGGTTTTAAATACCAGAGCCGACAACAGCTTCACCTTTTTTTACTGTCTTAATTAATTTATTTTACTTTTATTTCTGATTGCTAATTGTACTTTCTCTCTCTACTTATGTTTTCATAACCAACATTTTTTTTGAGGACCACAACTTATGGTCATCAATGACAGTGACACCAAATAAAATTTTCTTAATCGACTTCTGATTATTACTTAAAACTGCCACTTAAATCTGTTCTAACATTTCCTTTGAGTATAATTTTTTCAACTTTTGGAAACTGTCTTTTAGACTTGTGTTAATTCATAATTAATTTTTACATGCAGCTCTTTATACAGAAAACATCAAAATCAATACATAAGACAAGCTGAATATAATACTTACACATACAAGGATGAAGTCTAGCCAACACCAGGCATTTGTGAAATAACTGTGCAAACCATAAGCCACCCATTTCAGCAGCATCTCCATAAAAAAGATGTAGGTAAATATTTTATCAGCAAATTCTAGGAGCATTTTCACTTTTTGTCTCTCCTGTAGGTGAATATCTTCAAATGCCTGGAATTTCAGAATTCAGTTTTAAAACAGTTCGGTAGTTTTATGGAAAATCTTTTAAATTCCACAAGAATGCACAGTTTGGCTTATTATAACCATTTCATATTAAATTATGGGCAACCACCACAAAGTTTTATGCTTAGAAATAAAAACCTAAATTGTAAAGTACAATCTCATTTTCAGATTGGTTGCAAAATCACATACTTTCAGATGTTTATGCTCGACACTTCTTCAAAAAATTATCTCATGAGGGTCAATTGTGGCTACCAAAAATCTTGGCTTCCTGAATTACTGGATAATTTTGAAGGTGTTAGTCTAAAATTCTTCACAATAAAGCTTGAATTAAACACATTAAGCACTGTCTTTCAGACCTAGGTCTTCCAAATGTGTCATCTTTAGTTAGCCTGCAAAGCTGTAATAAAGATATGAAAAAATATGACAAGCACTTCACCTGGAATTGTTAATTGCCAGAGTTCCACAATTTTTCACCTAAACCTTGACATTACTTTGATGTCAGTAAGGGTTTTGGAAAATGTTTTATTGAGTGCTTTAGTTTACATCATTGTTTGCTTGTGTTTAATGTATTTGCTGCCTTGCTAATTTATTTTAAAGTTTTGATACTGCCATTCTATTCTCAGTTCCTTTTAGCACCTTGCACTACTTCCTCACCAAGGCTCTGGTGATGTCTTCATTCTTCCTTTCATCCATTTCTCCCCCACCTTATAGCTCCATCTCCATTCAATTTCTCTTTCGCTGCCAGCATTTCTCATGACCTATCCATCCATTTTCACTACCACTATTTCCCTCATGTCTGTCATTACTTTTACTTAAAACTTTCGTTACTTATGTAGATAAATCAGAAGCCACACTGTACCACACCCTTTCTGACCCTCTACTATCCCTAGATATAAATTACTTAATCTCCTTTTGTCTCTTTCACATTCTGTCTCAAGAGCTGAAAGTGTCTCTAGAGCACATCAGGGCATTTAACAACTTCCCTTTCTTTTATCCTTATTCAAATCTATGTCTCTTTCTCTGAAATAGCCTCTGCAGCTGCTAACTTTTTGTCTTCTTTCTTGCCATGAGACAAGTAAAAAAGTTGAAATGAGAAATTTGTTTGTCTGTCCTCTCAGAAAGAATATACTATCTCATATCCTTAGGACGTTGGACCACAGCATCTTTATTTTATAGACACAGTATCTTTATTTTATAGAAGAGCAAATGAAGTACAGAAAGATCAATTAATTTGCCCAAAGTCACATGGCTGTAGTCTTTGACAAAGATCAGGAACCAAACAGAGGGTGTCAAAACTTTAATCCACATCCAGTTTCAATCTACATCAGCTCCTCACTTAACAGCTCCTTACCCAACCCTGAAATCCCTCATTCTGCTGTTATTTTTTAATAAGATCATGAACAGTCAGCACCATTTAAGGAAACAGTGGGCTGTGTTACATGACCTGGATGGTCCATAGACCTTTGGTTCAGGAGAGCATGGCAGCAAAGAAAACTCAGTGGTTTTGCAAGCATTAGCCCAGCTATAGCGGGCCTTAACGGTTATGAGTTATCGCCAGTCACATTAATCTGGTGGAACTTACGCAGTCCTGCTCCACAGTGTAATGAAACAGTAAAACTGCTTCTGGACCGAAGTGGTCTTTAAAGCAGTGGTCATTCAATTGTGCTACAGTCAGAAGAAATGTGTACAGAGCAGAGCTGTCACTGTGTCCACAGAACTACTAATTTGACTGTAGGTAATTGAGAACTTCTGGCATTCATGTACATAAGCCTATTTACCATTTCCTACATTTTTTCTGAGCAAGTTTGATAAGTAATGTCATCTTTTTCACTGTTTAACCTTGACTACCTTGATTTCTACCTACTAGTCAAATCACTCATCATTTAGCAGTGATACTCTTTCAAAATTCTAACTCTTCTTTTGCTCTGAGCACTGAGCATTCACCACATACTTTTCTATGCATTCTTTCTATGATCACCACCTCATCTGATTTGCTTTCAAGCAGGGACATGCCTGATGGTATGGTGCTGCTTCATTCTAGCTGGTTCAGGAAATTCTGTATCAACAAACAATTTTAAAAATAGAAAATGGACAAGACCTTTTTCACAATAGGACAACAGTATCTTAGGAATGTGAAAGTTCTTAACACTACAATACGTCTTCGATGAAAAGGATTTGTTATTTTTTTTTATATAAGCCTTCCTAATAAATTTCATACCCTCATTTAGCCTCCTAGTTAATCACACAAGTGTGTGAGGAATCATATTCCATGAACAGTGTGCATGAGGCCCTCAGTGACATAGTTTAGTGACGGTCTTGGCAGTCCTGGGGTGATGGCTGGACTTAAAGGTCTTTTCCAACTTAGCTGACTCTATGATTCTATGAAGAACTATGAGAAGACTATGATCCCATATATTTAAATATCTTGTCCAAGCTGGGGAGAACCTTATAACTTCTAAAGGACATGTTTATAATACTTGTGTCTCCCTGGGGAAAGGAATGTGAGAGTAAAAGAAATAAATATAATAATATAATTTTCCTTTACTGACAACCATCAATTCAAAATTTGAGAAATTAAATTAAATTTACCAGTGCTGCGCTGCTCAATATTATCATAAAAATTATAAAATGTTCAAACCAGCTATGTTTAACAATTCTGTAACAGGTTTTTCTAAAGTTCCACCAAGTTCTGCCTGGAAACCTAGTGGTATCCAATGCACAACATGGAAAACACTCAACGCAACCTGAAAAGAGAAAGAAGAACACGTTGGTCCCATGGAAAATGTAGAGACATAGAACATAAAAAGTGTAAGGTATCTTAATATGAGTTTCCACAGTCTATACAACCAATGTGATGTTTTACCTAAGGGGTGATGCTGTCTCTGAAGCAATCAAAAGCTAAATAAAAGACAAAATTTGTAGGTAAAAATATCTTTAAATAGAGCAACTTATACATGGAAAAAGCAGAAAAGCCACTGTGTCCACAAGCCCTTCTGTGGGCACAAAAAGCCATTAGTTCCATCTAAAAAATTTCTTGAGTTATTTTGTTTGCTTGGTTGTTGGTTTTTTTTGTTGGTCTTTTTTTTTCCCCTGCATTTATTCTTTTGAAAATCGATAATGTAAAAATTGGTTAGTAAATTAGTATTTCTACTGATTATTTCACTCAATTGCACTGCAGAGACATTACAATTAGATTCTCTAGTCACCATTTTGCACTGGAAATGGACTTTTTCATTAATCTGTAAAGGCAGTAGGGTTGAACCATGAGGGTCAATGGAGTCTAAGGAACCATTCAGGCAATCAAAAGTAGGTGTCCACACTGGGATAAACTGTAAATTCCTCTGAATGCCATTAGCTGTATTGACTGGATATTCATCCACTGTGCTGGGAGCTCAGATAAATTCACTTAAAGTGACATTCAAGACACCAGATACAGACATACATATCCCGACATCCAGCTGCCCTTTCAGAAATGCTTTGAGTGCTTTTGCTCATATTCAGATACCTACAGTCTGATGCCTCAATATAAGACTGAATCACACTCCAAAGATGGCATTTTGCTACCTAAACACAGGTGTTTTAAACCAATTTAGGCCTCTTCGGATACCATACAGCTCCCGTGATACTTCTGCCAGCTTCATGCAGTTGTACTGCCTGCTCTCGGGCATCTCATATGGTTCTAAATGCTTGTGTTCAGGCATCCCAGCCCTGCTACAGTTCTGTGCTGGCTTCAGGTCTGTTTATCTGAATTTTTATGTTTATAAACAAGCGTCTCAGTTTTTGCCAATTTGGAAATGTTCTAAAGAGAACAAATGGACACTGGTTCATTTGGTGTCACCACAATATATAAAGGATTCTTACTTCCTGTAAAACAGTCCTTGGGTAGGTGTGAGTTTTGAGGCTGGGAAAAGGTCTCCAGGAGAATAACTGGATCCACAGTGCTGGCTTCAGAATAGCTACCACCATCACATTTCTGCAGAGGATGGTAAAGAAGAGGATTTGCTTTTTATTGATAAGGTTAACAGATTTAAAATAAATTAAACTTATCACACACACCCCCCAAAAAAAAGAAGAAACAAAAAGAAAACTGCACCCTATAAAATATCTTAATGAATTTAATGTTGCTGAACTACCAAAACAAAATTACAAACAAAAGGACAGAAAAGGCTAATCCTTCCTCTTTGTTTCCATGGCTTTAATTTAATAAAGTATCTTCTAGTCATCTACACTGGCCTTGCAGCAAGGAAAATATTTAGAAGAGATTATATTATGCTACAGCTTTACTTTAGAGAAAACTCTGATTTGTTCATGACAATCCAATTCTTTTTTCATTTTCAGAGACACAAACCATGTCTTAAAAGGCTTGAAGATAGGAAGGCCTAGCAGGAAAGAAATGTATGTATGGCTACACATTTCAAAGAGTTATTGTTATTGGCAAATAAACTACACACCTATAAAACTAAAGACAATAAGGAAAATAAGTATAAAGAAAAAGGAATAAAGCAACCTATCAGCCATAAAATATAAGTGCCCTGTATGACATGGAAAGGGAAGGCATAAGGATAGGGATAAAAATGAGAAGCCAGAAGAAGGGATAATTGCTGTTGTTGACAGCCATGCTGTTCTACACTAACTTAGGGTCCTAGGGAATCTTCAACATAGACAGAAATGTAATTACTTAAATTTATGAGCATTTTAATATTTTAATCTAAATATAATTAACAGATAAAATTAAATAACGTCTAGCAAATAAAACTTCCAGCCACTTCCTCTAAAATCAAAAAATACTGAAGTGGTTTGACATTTGGAGGTAGTAATCCAGAAAGCTGCCGGGCCATTGGAGGCAAGCCATGGTTCTTCACCTTTTGTGATGTGGAGCTGTTGTATTAGAATAACCTATGCTTCTAGACCAGAAAAAGTATGTCTGTTTGGGGAACTGTTCCTAGAGAAAAAATTTTTGCATCCAGGGTTGAACAAACAGAATTATCTATAAAATTGAATAATATGTAACACATATTTAAAATAAGTGTGTTTCTTGATTAATTTGTTTATTTATTTTGTACAAAATATTATCTGAAGCTACACTGTCAGCCATGGTTGTTTCTGAGAGACAAACCTCCATGCTTTAAACTATTATTGCCTCTAGAAATATGTAACATTTTCACAAGGATTATACTTACTACTCTTTGGAAAACCCCAGCTTATCCTGTCATTGATGAATGAGGGAACCACTGTGACAATTTTCATCTCTAGCATATTCTGCAAGGTGATAAAATTTATAATTACCTCTTTTTGCTCTTTCTTTTGGTGTATTTCTGAAACACAACTTAAAGTTTCAGAAGTCCCAGAAATCTGACTGAAGACACTTGAACTTCGGCACTCCCTTCTATGTCTTAACCTGTCTCCCTGCATAAAATAATGCAAAACAGTTGACTTTCCACATTTACTGACATTCTTAAAAGTAAATATTCTTTAACAGAATCTAAATCATCCACAAAATTCAGCATGTTTGTCTTTTTACAGATAATTAAATTATATCCATAAAGGCATGTAAAAGAATGGTTTTTTTTCTTCAATTTCAAATACTGTGTTCCTGTAGTTACACTGTGGAAAGGTACCATGCCTCGAGACCTACGTTTAGCCCACTGATGTATTCTTGCATCCAAATCACTAAGTTCAGATGGACTAGCTCAGCTGGACCCCAAGAATCTTTTCATCTTTCTAGTTACAGGGAGAATGGCTAAGTGATCCAAACCAGATCTCAGTCTTGTGCTGGTTTTGGCAGGGGTAGAGTTTGTTTTCTTCACAGTAACTAGTATGGGGCTGTGTCTTGAATTTGTGCTGGAAATACTGTTGATAACACAGCAATTTTTTCATTATTGCTGAGCAGTTCTTACGCAGAGTCTAATATGGGTAGGTGCACAAAGGATGCTGGGGTACACAAAGAGCTGGGACAGCTGACCCAAACTGACCCAAGTAATATTCCATACCATATGGCATAATGCTTAGCATATAAAGCTGGGGAAGAAGAAGGATGAAGGGGGGATATTTGGAGTGATGGAGTTTGTCTTCCCAAGTAATTGTTACACATAATGGAACCCTGCTCTCCTGGAGATGCCCAAACGTCCACCTGCTGATGGGAAGTGGTGAATGAATTCCTTGTTTTGCTTTGCCTGTATGGGGGGCTTTTGCTTTACCTATTAATCTGTATTTGTCTCAGCCCATTAGTTTTCTCACATTCTTTCATCCCAACACAGGTGGAGTGAGTGAGCAGCTGTGTGGTGCTTAGTTGCCATCTGGGGTTAAACCACAACAGGTTAATAATTTTTTGTTCACCTTCTGACAGAAGGTTGTAAGGAAGGTATATTGGAGTCTGCTACCTCTTATTACAACTGCGTGTGAATAAGGCAGGCTTCTGAAAGAAATTAGCTTGATGTCCCTTTTTGCTAATAAAAGCTGAAACTACTATTGTGTGTTTCATACACAGCTGCAGTGCTGTCAATGGGCTAAAAGGTACCACCCTTACCTTCTATAGGCAAAAATATTTGTACAGGAATAAGACTCTCAGAGGATGACCTAATGATTTTGAACTAAAATGCATTCATGCATGCTTACTGCCTTCTAAGATACGTGGGCGGTATCTTAAGACATACCCATGGCATGTTAGATACAGCACAGGATATAGAGGAACTGACAGACACCTTTTTATAGATGCATTTAGAAGCTGTATGAGATGATCCAGCACCTCAAATGACACTTGACATCTATAAGGTGAGTAGTACGTGGAATCCTGAAATTCAGGTATCTAAGCGGTGTAATCTAATTGCGGCTGGTACCCAGTGTCATCTGAGGTGTTTCTACACACCCCTGGCCACCAGATGTCAACAGAAATTCCTATAGCTTCTGTGTCTTATTTGTCAGTCCCATGTGGATGTGACAGATACCCCAAGTATCTCAAATATCCCAAAATGCCTATGTACAGGAAAATTAATCACACCGTTTTATCATGGCAATATAAACACCTCACACGCAGAAAGACTTGAGCTTTTACCTGCCCAACACAAAAAAATAAAGAGATGTAAAGGGGAGTCCAAAGTATCACAGAAGTGAAAGGGGGATTAAAAAAAATTAAGAAATTAATTTTTTAAGGAGAAGCTTTTATTTGCTTTTTCATCTGGACTCTGTGCAACTGACAAGCAACATAAAAACAACACAAGAATACTGTCCTCAAAAAATTCCAGGTGCCGTCTGTAAGGCAAAGGAGACTTTCTGTCTTGATCAAACTTCATTTAGCAATTGACAACCATAAATGGAAGCAAAACAGACCAAAGTAGAATGATAGCTATCAATGAGAAGAATGATGAAAAAGTGAATATTCAACATTATTAAATAACTGAAACTATTTGGGTCTATTTTGCATTTTGAAGCTACTAGAAGAACAAAGAAAGTAAAATGACAGAAATGACAGAAAGGATAACATTTACAGTTGAGTCTTCAAGATCATATTTATAGATGCAAGTTACAATAATTTTTCAAATATTACTATTCCCTACCTGTTTTCTGTATTCTGTTTCTGTGCATACACTGTGCTCATCACCACCTTCATCCGTGTAAGTCTCTGGTACTGCAATAGGAACACAGGTACTATGACTGGTCAAAAATTCTTCATATTTCATTGTTACTGAGCAATTCCTCTCAGTATTGTAATAACCCAGGTCTAAGCAGCTGTTGTCTATATCTTTTCTGACATCTATCATGGCATAGTTATTTTCCTCTATGTCTTTGGCTGAAATTTTCACCAAAGTCTTCTTTTTGGCTGTTGTTTTGAGGCTTCGTTTCATTGCTTTGCAACAACGACCCAAAATTCTGTCTTTCACAGACTGCAGGCCCTTGCGAATATGCACAATGGTAATCTGACTTTTGGTCATTTGTCCAGATTCCTCTTGATCCGTTGAGGAGTCAGTATTGAATGAATTCAGCAGCAAGGCAATGAATAGGTTGAGCACCTTAAAATAGTTAAAGTAAGTTGGAGACACTACTGGTAACAGAAAAGGCATTTCAGAAAACCTTCCTTAGATAAAAGCATCTCAGTCTTGCTTTCATCAACCACTGCAATGAAATAATTTACTATTATACTGAAATATTAATATATTATAATATGGCTCTTTCTGGAAGGAAGGGCAGGAACAAAAAGAAAGAAGTGACAGTTTGAGTCTAGCAAATATATTTTCACATGCTCTGATGTCCATAATGTCTACAAGGAGGTAGATATGTAGAAAAACAGCAGGCAAAGATAAATTTTAGTAACACTACCATCAAAAAGGATCTGGTATGTGCCAACAAATCAAGCACATGGAAAAGATTTTGTCTTCCTGCATATACACAGTAGAACAATTATGTGGCACACAAACCAGAAAATCTGGGGACTTTAGATAATAAAAGGATAAGTTGGCAAGCTTAAAAGCACTGACTAATTTGGTTAATTGATCCTAGTAACACCAAAGATGAAAAAATCAGAGACCAAATTATCAAAAGCACCGCACTTCTATACTCTGGGTAGAAGAAATAATTTTATTTTGCTTAGCAGCTACCTTTTGTGTGAGAAAGAGAAAGGGGAAAAGGAAAAAAGTCAGAAGAAAAACATACATTAAGTAACATCCAGAAAAAAAGAATACTGTGAATATTTTTCAAATAATAAAGTTTGCCTTGGAAAAAAGATGCTGATGTAATTGGATTCATTCAGAATGGACTGAAAACTAGCTTGAAACTCACCACCAGGTTTCCTATGACCAGGACTACCAAGAAAATGGGAAGACATAGCCCTTTTCCAGCCACTTCCATACATTCCCACATGGTTTCAATCCATTCTCCACATAATATTCGGAATATAATCAGGAATGAATGATAAAAATCCTTCATATGCCAGCGTAACTGTGCATCGGTGCTTATTTTACAAGAATATTTTTCATAATAAGGGCCTAAAACCTGCTTTCCTACTACGGCAAAAATAAATATAGTGACAATCAAAACCAGAGTGAGGTTACCCAGAGCACCAACTGAGTTTAGAATTATTTTCATAAGAGTATTTAAGGCTGGCCAGAATTTTGCCAATTTGAAGATCCTGAGCTGTAAGTAAAACACAAGAGAACAATGTGAGTAGCAAACACTACATAGGTAGCACAGCACAAATAAAAAACAGACCCCGCATTTATCATGCTGGCTTTACTACAGGAATACCATCATAACTTTTCCCCGAAGAAAGGTTTATATTTGTTCCAATGTGAAACACTGTGCTTCAGCTCAGATAGTTAATTAGTATTAATAGCGGTGATGACAACAGAAATATTCAAGTGGCCTATAGGTACTTGCATGAGGCTTATGAAATGACTGAATTGTAGACTAAATCAAATATATAAGAAAAATTGAAAAAATATTTTTTTCTGCCTCTTACACAACTGAATTAAAATAGGATCTGAAAAGACAGGTCAGATCTTTTGCATGCATTCTCATGAGTAAAAAGGACACTTTTAGTAAAATCAGCATCAGGGCTGCTCCAATCTTTCAGTCATGATCACAAGATGAAACAGAATTCAAATGAATTTCTACGTGTGATGCCTCTGAAAAGCTATGAAGAATGTTGGAAACATTTAGGAAATATAGCACTCCGAATACATAGTAAGGATGCAAACAAAACCATAACATTACACATAGAGATCTCAGAGATACTCTTCCTGTTCCCTAAGATGAAGGAAATCCTTGAAAAGACCTCATGGCCAAGCTTAAGCCTTGAGGAAAGCTGTGTTATTTTACAAATCAAATTTTACAAACTCAAAAGGAAAAGCTGTGAGGGAACCACTGCTATCCCTAAGCTCAGATAATACCTTTTCCTAATGGAAGATCTGAAATGTAGTTGAGTGGTGCCACTGTACAGACCTAACAGAAAGCCATTGAATTGTCTGCTATGTCAAATCTTCAAAAGAGCACATTGTGCCACAGGATTTATAGTATCCAATATACACAGTATAATAATCATATTGAATGCATTTGTTAATATTAATTTAATATTCACTCTAATTAAATATTCACATGGGCTTGCTATTTACTAATGAAGAGAAGTGATATAACGGGTTCATCAGTAAAATAATTTGAGGGTGTTTCACTGTAATCTTTATAAATCTATACAACATATACTTAAAAAAAAGAATAAAGAAATAATTACCAGCCTGAAATATGATAGATTTTCTTCAAAGCTTATTAGGTCAATCATAACAACTATGCTATCAAAAATATTCCATTTTTGCTGAAAATAGTTGTAAGGATCAAGAGCAATGATTTTCAAGATCATTTCTGCTGTAAAAATCAGGGTGAAGACCTGGAAAGAGGAAAAAGAAATCCAGCAAAAAGTCACTGACAAAGTATGTCTCTTTATGGGATTTTCCAAATATAAATACAGGGTCATAACTCCATATTCACTCTAACATAGACCTAACTTACCAAGTCACTTCTATAAAATAGTTCTTTGTAATCATGGTTCACACCAGGATGCTTCAAAGCCATGAAAAAGGTATTTGCAATAATGCAAACCATGATCAAGGTTTCAGCAGATGGATCCAAAATTACCATTTTCACCTTCTCTTTGACTGCTCTCCAGAATGAACAACAATTCCAAATTAGACACTTTCGAGCAAGATGTTTCCATTGAGAAGGGCATGTAATTTTTGACTTTTGCATGTCTAAATGACAAAGAGGTAAAGTGACATACAGATAATTTTATGTGCAATATCAGCATGAAGAAAAAGACAATCACTCATAGAAATATCTGAAAAGAAAAATCATTCATGTGAGCAAAACAGCATCACTGAAAATAAAGTTTCAGCATTCTACACAAACTTATTACAGGCTATTTGAAGGTCACTATCAACAAATCTCTTAATTAAGAAACAGGTGATATTGCCCACCTCTTCATATGTTTATTAAACTATTGAAGGATGATAGAGGATCTGTATTAAGGAGAAATAACTTAACTGTCTTTGGAAACTGTCAGCTAGTTTTCTGTGCGCTGCATCGATGCAGTCACAAATGCAGCATGGCTTGAAGAAAAGCCCAGCATAAAATGAAGAAGGGTGTGCCCCATATCTTGATGTCCCATAGTTGAAGATATGATCATAAGATAAGTTAGAAGGGACCTCAGATCTGTACTGCAACCCCCTTCTCAAAGCAGGGTCAGCTATGAGGGCAGACACACATAAACTGTTCCGCTGCCCATAGTGAAAATTTCTACTTACACACAGTTTGAAACTCTCTTCTTTCAATTCATGTCTGTTGCTTCATCTTCTGCTGTGTGCCATTGTGAAGAGCCTGGCTTCATCTTCTTGAGAATGTCTTCCTACACACTGGAAGGCTGATATTAACTTCGCCTCAAAGCTTTCTCTCTGGCCTGAACCAGCCCAGCACTGGGCAAGTGCTCCAGCAACTGGCTTGGAATCACCCTACTGAACATAATGTATGTCTTGTACTGGGGAGACTGGGGGGCAAACTGGGCACAGTATGTGGTCTAGGATGTGCTTAATAAATGGCAATAATCACTTTTCCCCTGGCTATACTCCTTTTAATAAGACTAGGATACTGTTAGCCATTGCTGCTACAAGGGCATGTTGCATGCTCAGCTCACTGCCCACAAGGACCCACAGGGCCTTTCCCGCAGAGCTACTTCCCAGCCAGCCAGCTCACAGCCTGTATTGTTGCAAGAGGTTCTTGCAGATTTGTTGACGTTTACATTTGCTCTGGTTGAATTTTCATAAGGTTCCTGTTGGCCCATTCCTCCAGCCTAAGTCCCTCTAGATGGCAGCCCTTACCTCCAGTGTATCAAGAGGTTCCCCCTTAATTTGGTGTCATCTGCAAAATTCAAGATCAAGCTCTCTGTTGCCTCTTCCAGGTCACTTAGGACAAGATGGGTCCGAGGATACACCCCGGTGGTACTCCACTTGTTACCTGCCTCCAGGTAGAATACAGCTTGTTCACCAGACACTTAAGTCCAAACATCCAATCATTTTTATTTTTTTTTGACCAGCTGGTTGTCTACCCTTGCAGATCCTGACACCCTAACTTGGAAGAAAAAGTACTGTGCGAGACAGTGTTGTAAGAATTGCTAAAGTCAAGGTAAATGAAAACACTGCTCTCTTCTCATCCACAAACCCCATTCATTTTGCTGGGCAATCAGCTTGGCCAGGTATGATCTTTGGTAATTTTAAGTCGTAATTACAGATATGTGATATGAAAATATTTACTTTACTGAAAGGTACATTTAATAGCAGCATAATTTCCTCCAGCAACTTTTAAAATAATGCTGGTTGTTTGTGACATTTTGATCTCTTAGGTCAAGTTACACAATCACCATAGGAAAAACACTAAAGAATGACTTAACACAAATTACCTGTAATAATAGTGGCTGCACTCATTAACCTTTGTCTTTGAAAAGGATCATTAATAGAGTCCACTGACAATTCATAGGACAGCAGTATCTGCCTCTAGTTAGAAAGACAACAGAAGATAATATAACAAAAGAATATGAAGAAATGGCAAATATTAATAAAATTATGTCCAGCATAAGATCAATATGGCTTTTTAAATACATATTTTATGAATGTTTTACATATTTTACATTTACTTCCTTGCTGGAAAGATGTAAAATGAAACAATACAACAATACCATGTGTTTGCTTTTGATGGTGTGGTGGTGTGTTCCACCCCCCAACCCTTTATTTCCCAACTCTGCTTAAGTGGTAACTATCAGTGGTGGTGGTAATGCATATGTCTGGGAAAGGCAAAGAACATTTCATCAAAACCAGTAATATTTTTCAAGAAGTTGTTTCCTTCTGAAAATATTTACCAACTATAATAATGCCATTATATAAGTACTGCTGGGGTCTTGGTAACGTGATAGTAAGGACTGTCCACGAGATATACGGCATCTTGCCAGTGTCAACGGTACTGTAAAAAAAACCTCAAGATTAGGAAAAGTAACAATTTCAACTCTTAAAAGCAGTTTCTTAATGGATTTAAAAAGGAGTGATGAGCATGGAAGCCAGAAGTCACAGCTGTAATCAAGATGTGAAATAGCACGTGTAGGTTTCAGCCTAATATTCAGGCATCCACGTTTAATTTGTTCATGTGCTAAAATCTGCTTTATTATAATTGATGTTTTATATATATATGTTTGATTCATTTAAATCTAAGTGTATGAAGCCATTTGAGACTGCCTGTTTAGACATTTGATATCTGAGACATCCACAGTCTCAGACCAAGCAGACATGACACATCATGTCTGTACCCTTCTGTAGAGCAGGTGGACGCCAAGTAAGACACTCTAGAAAACATCAAATGTCACTAGGGATTAATTTGTGACCCAAAAATTCAAATCTATAGTCAACTCTGGGAGTTTAGAATGTAAATAACATGTAGACACCTGCAAACAAAAACCTGGAGCACAATTCAGTTGCCTAAATCTAGAAATTTAGTAACATTTAAGATGACATAATGTATTTGAGATATTCACACAGTGCTGGAAGATGTGCCACAGACACCAAAGATACCAGAATATCCAAGATTTCCAAGAACATCTAAAAATGTCACTAGATTCTTATTGTTACAAAAGTGAATTATGCCCCTAACATTAGATATCTTCATACTGAACTAAATACAACCCAGAATATTTAGGCCAGAGAACTAGGTGTGTGTACAAAAAAAAAAAAAAGAAAGATTAGGCCATTAGGGAAATTCTAAAACTTACAGGATTTTGTGTGTTTATTTATGCAGCACAATAGAGATGCTGACAGATCTTTCCACAGCTCTATGTGCTGAGGTCTACACTGTGTCTTAACTATGCTACTGACAACCACTTCAAACTTCCCTTTCAAGTCCATTTAGTTCTGTCTCTCTCTGGTCCCAGAAATCTAGCTTTCAGATTGCTTTAAAACACAAGTTAATCCAATGCATGAAAGAGAGAGGGGTGGGAGGAGGTGTGTGTTTAAGAAAAAAAAAAAATGAAGGAAAAGATTGCAAATAAAGGAAGATTTTCTTCTCATCTACTTGTCATACCACATCTAAGTCTAATGAACCTATCTTCTGTTTCAAATACTTACAAGCTTCTTGTGGCAGTGAACAGGCTGTGACTGAAACATATGTCCATCTTTGTCATGATCACTTAAAATTGAACTTTTGCTTAAAATAGGTTTTTCTTTCTTCACTTCTTTTTCTTCTGAATTTTTCAACTCAGCAGCTGACATTTTGGATTCAACATGTAGGGCCCTATTACCTTCTCCGACAGCCAACATCTGTAAAAGAATCAGCAAAAGATCTGTCTAATAATACAGGGCAAATGCCAATGCATGGATTAGGATGATATACAATTTAATTATTATGTTATCTGCATGCCCTGAACCAACAATTCCTACTTTTAAAATATTAAACTACTATAAAAAGATAAGAGTACAAAATGCTATTTACAATACTGAAAGATAAAACAGTGTTACTTACCAGCTACTGTAATTAAAGTCTGTCTTTGCCACTTTAGATATTGCATTTGTATCTGAATTACAGGATACTCTGCTGTATCCTTTTACTCTCCTTTTCCTGCTTTGGAAAGGACCTTGAGCCCAAAGACAACAGAAGACTAAGGGCTTAAACAAAATCCTAAAGCATTAAACCTTTCTGAACTACTAATCCCGTTGAATGAAGAATAGGTGGAAGAATAAGTAAAGCTTGGCAAGCTGGAATTTTGGACAGAGAAACATTACAGGCCTGTCAACAGCTAGAGAGGAGGGATTTGGCAAACTGGTGATGCAATTCACCTTAATGATGAAACTGGATAATTGTTAGAGAATGTTTGAATGTCCTTTTACAAGTCTGACTTTTCTGTCAGTAAATCAGAGGTATCTTTTATAAAAAGTTAGAAGATAAAATGTCCTACCAATAATTTTCAGTCTATCTTATTGCCTCACCTCAGAGCTTCATTTCTTAGAAATAAAATAATTTCTCAGAAATAACAACAAAGTGACACCTGCTCCTATAGAGGCAAGGAATGAATGAATCTAGGCAATATTGTGCCAAGAGGAAATACTACAGAAATTTGATGTGTGTCTATGAGGTCTCCAAACCAACAGCAAAGAAAACACAATCTCTGGATGTCCATCTATATTAATATGGAACTAATGGCATTAGCCTGGACAAAGACTATGACTACTCTTGTCAAATGGTAAGCCTTCTGCATACAGTCACTCAAAAAAAGGCACGACATGCCTTAAATAGCCAATCAAGTGGCTCTCAGAAAGCCTACATTTTTTAATCAGTCCTGAAATCTACCAGCATCAGAACTTCCAATATCAAGGAACTGTAGAAATGACAATTTTTCTTATACAGAATCATAGAACAGTTAGGGTTGGAAAGGACCTTAAGATCATCTAGTTCCAACCCCCTGCCATGGGCATGGACACCTCACACTAAACCACTTCACCCAAGGCTTTGTCCAACCTGGTCTTGAGCACTGCCAGGGATGGAGCATTCACAACCTCCCTGGGAAACCCATTCCAGTGCCTCACTACCCTAACAGGAAAGAATTTCCTCCTTATATCCAATCTAAACTTCCCTTGTTTAAGTTTTAACCCGTTACCCCTTGTCCTGTTACTACAGTCCCTAAGGAAGAGTACCTCCCCAGCATCCCTATAGGCCCCCTTCAGGTACTGGAAGGCCACTATGAGGTCTCCATGCAGCCTGCTCTTCTCCAGGCTGAAAAGCCCCAACTTTCAGTTTACACACTTGTACTTCCTTCATCAAACTACACGGTAATAGCAAGAAGGAATATTCAGAGAAAGGATTTTTTTGTACACAGCAATAGTAGCAGTGTACGAGAATGGGGTAAACCACAGAGCACAGGCACCTGTGCATTTCCATGAAAGCTATATACTTGCCATCAAGCCAGTCCTGTGTAATATCAGGTCTCCCAATCCTAAAACTTAATATGATTGAACTTGGACTTATTCTGTTAGTTTGTAATGCAGAAATGCTTATATATATTTATATATATATTTATATATATTTGTATGTATAGACACACACATGCATTTATAAAACGACAGAAAGACAAAGTGTAAGAAAATATTTCAAAAAGCAGATGCTTAATTAAAACTCTTATTTCCCTAATTCACAAACAGAAGAAAACAAAAGGAACCATATATTATATATATATTATCTGTAATAATTTACAAACCTGTTCTTCCTTTAGAATTTGATAGGCATCATGAAGTATTTTTTCCTTTTCCTCTAGAGCTTCATTTTGCTCTTTATATGCCAAAGTTACCACAGCCAAGATCAGATTGAAGAGATAAAATGAGCACAAAAAGATGACTGCCATAAAAAATAAAACGTAGCTCTTTCCAGATGTACGGATAGTCTGTGAGGAAAAGGTTATAATAAATAAAGGTTATAATAATTTCTATACAAACTAACTTTTAAAATAGGATTTCTAACTAACTTTAAACAATTTATTTTCCTATAAAACACAAAGGCTCAACATACTGCACTGTTTTCATTAAAAAAACAGTAGGATATACCTCTGGTCTAAGTTAAATAGGAGGTGTAGAAATACATCTAGTCAGGAGTTCCCCTGGCCTCCAAGTGATTAAATTTCAGCTCTTAAAAATGTCTCTGTGATCACACAATGTTTTCTCTTTCTTAACAGACCATCAAATGTCCATAATGATGTCATTGCAGAGAATAATTTACAAAATATGTTCTTAAAATTAAATTTAATATCTCACAGCAAATTGGGCAAATGATCATCAGAGTTTAACTTAAGAGAAGACAACTTCAGCTGTAAAGAGATACACAGGTGGCTACCAGAGGAATTAATAAAACTCACTAATACAGATGAAAGTTAAGATCATCTAAACAATCATGAAAGATGTTGTGATGAGAGAATCAGAGGCAGTATTTAGACTGATTGCTTACTGTTACATTTTCTCAATTTGTAAAGGCTGCTGTAAATAAGGTGGACCATATGAAAGTTACAAAACAAGGCAGAGGATAATACCTTTCTAGCAAAGGCCCTGCATAGATGTAAGGGACCCAGAGAGCTCTCTACATGAAATTTTTGTACCATTTTTACCAAAAAGTGGAACATGAAAGTTAAATTCAGCTCTCTGAATCAAAACATAAAGGCTCCTTTTTTTTTCTGGTATCAATTGTCAAAAATTTTTTGAAATCGGTGTATATGTTGAGCCAAAAGGCTTTTGTGAGGAGTCAGGACTTCAAAGGAAGAGAAACAGTGTGTGTAACAAGTCCTCATCTACCCTGCAGCAGCAGTGAGCTCACTAGCCAAATCCACTATATACCCAAATCCTATGGCGGTTTCATATTAATATTTAACTATTAATCATTGACCCAAGTGTGCTCTCCAAAGAGCATACACAGCAGGATTGCTCCCATCCAATGTCACTCACAGAAGGTGTAGCAACTTAGTCACTTGAAGTTAATTCTTTAATATTTACATTGATTTTAGAAGACATTTGGTATCAGTAATGTTGAGACAGGTGCAGAATTTTCTAGTGGACATAACATTCTAAACTGCATGTCTAAAGTCATTATAGCAGGTAACAAAAGTACCTACTTGTCTGTAGAGACGTTCCCAGTAATCCTGTGTCATAAGACGGAACAAAGAAAGGAAAGCCCAGCCAAAATGATCAAAACTTGTATAACCAAAGTCAGGATTCTTCCCAATCTTCTTACAGGTATAGTTTTGGGGACACTCATTCCTAGCAACAAAAGAAAGGTTAAACAGTATTCACTTGCAGTGTTAGATTGTACCTGAAAGCACCCAGTATACAACATCAAATATATATTGGGTCAGTTTATCTGAAAGTCTGTTTCATTATTCCCCAGTATAATTCTGCTAGAAAGGCGATTTATATCAGACAATCCTAGAAAGTCATTTGTCCAATCAAACTGGCTAGACAAAGTCTAGTTCTGCCTAGTTTCTGACTAGACAGAAATCCTCCACCAATGTAGGTTACATTCAAACAAATAAAGAGGGGAAAAAATGGATATTTAAAAAATAATTCACCAAGAGGAGGAGAGTTTATTCATATTTCACAAGTCTTTACTATCTTTTTTCCTACTCATGCATATAATTCTACATTACTATGATACTACCAGTGGTTAGCAACAAGCACATAAATAGTTGTTTGCATCCTAGCACGATATTTCATTCTTTTTCTGATGTAAATATCTGAGCTTTAATTTAATAACACACAGACATGCACCCTCTTCATCACCATTCCTTTACGCCAGAAAATATACCTGGAGGAAAAAAATAAGGAAGTATACTAAAACTGTTTTGTTCACTTACTCAGGCTGTGAACTGAACCCACAGAGCAATATTTCAGAAGATTTATTCATTCTAGCGCAGACATCTAATAAAAATAAATTCATTAATTTAATAAATCAAGGAATCAAAAAATCAGCAGTTGTCAGTTCTTACAGCACTCTGGCAGTAAACCATACATTGTTGCACTTTAAAAGAAAAAAACCTTGCTGGACCAAATCTCTGTGAAAGGCTCCTTTCACAACAAAGGGCACATAGGGTTGTTTCTAAACAGATCTGTCCCTATGGCAATTAAAAAAAAAAATAATAATTGTGAACAGCTCACAAGGTAAGATTTTATTTGATTTCTGGTAAAAATAAAAACACCTGTCAGAAGCAGGCAAAATCCCTGAACAATATAATTAAGTAGTTGAAACAGTCTCTGTACAGTACCCCTCAAATTAGGATCCCCATACAATGTGCATAGGTGAAGAAGTAAATGCTTATAGAAAACTCAGTCTCTTCTATCCTACAAACTGCTAATCTTTCTCCAAATCCAGGATCCACTAATCTCACATTCAGTTGCCCCAGAGACTTCCTATTACTACTTGTGCAAACGGAAGGACATACCTTCTAGTGAGAAATATGTGCAACTATATTTTAACATCTGTTAAAAAAACCCTAAGACATATATAACAAAATACACACATTATGAAATGAGGGAAAAGAATAAAATTTACCTTCAGTATCTGGTACATAGATCTTAGCATCCTTACATAATGTGTCATTGTAAGTAGTATTCTTGAGGACACATTTGGATGTTAAATTGCCCATAAAAAGCTGAAGGCCTATTAGAGCAAATACACTCAAGCAAAAAACAGTGAAGATCAACACATCTGTAAGTCTCTTAACAGATTCAATAAGTGAATTTACGATGACTTTCAGACCTAGAAAAGTAAGATTCAACAATATGTAAAATGAGAAGAGGAACGCAGTAGTGTTCCCATATGGTAATATACAACAGTTGCAAGTATGTTGTGGTTTTGTAACTTCAGAATATTAAATGAGGTAAAATAAATCATAGGAATGATTAATGTGTTTTTACTTAAAATTCCTAATCATATCTTATCTGGCTTTTCCTTCCAACACTAATTTTGCTAACTTGAAAATTCTAAATTAAGATGGCATCTAAGCAAACTCTTTTAGAATGTTAATGAATATGGACAGATTTCTGTGCTTGATTAACATTCAACAAGTACTTCACATTGTGCCAAATATACATTACAATAAAGGATAGCTTCTGCTGACCTCATGGAACTTTGCCTTTGAAGTTAATGCCTTAGAGATATCACCAGTTCAAAACCAAAAGAGCATCTGTGACACTGAGAAAAGAATGTATGCTGGGGAACACCCAGCTGGAAAGCAGCGTGGCAGAAAAAGACCTGGGGTTCTGATGGGCACAAGCTGAACATGACACAGCAATGATCTCTTGCAACAAACTTGAATGGTATCCTGGGCTGCATTAAGCAAAGCATGGCCAGCACGTCAAAGGAGGTGATCATTTGCCTCTACTCAGCACTGGAGAGGTCACATCTGGCGTACTGGGTCGAGCTCTGAACTCTCCAGTATCAGACAGACATGGGCACACTGGCAAGAGCCCTCTAAAGGGTCACAAAGATGACAAGGACTGGAACACCTTTCCTGTGAGGAAAGGCTAAGAGATCTGGGACTGTTCAGCCTTCAGAAAGGAAGGATCAGGGAGGATCTCACTGTGTATAAATATCTGACGGGAGAATGCAAAAAGAATGGAGCCAGGCTCTTTTCTGTGGTGCCCAGTGACAAGTCTGTAAACCATGTGCACAAACTGAAACACAGGCGGTTCCCTCTGAACATCAGGAAACACATTTTCACTGTGAGGGTGACTGAGCACTTTCACAGGTTGCCCAGGGACATTGGCGAGTCTCCATCCTCAACGATACTCAAAAGCTGTCTGGACATAGTCCTGGTCAACCAACTCTAGATGGTTCTGCTTGAGAAGACGGGCTGGACCAGACGACGTCCAGAGGCCCCTTCCAATCTCAACCATTCTGTAATTCTGTGAAAATGGGTTACATACAAACTGGAGACCAATATTCTGGCAGAATAACTGAATTTGAACTATGACATAGCCAGGGAGTGATAGCCATGATTTTTCTAGTAGTCTTTGGTAAGAAAAAAAGTAAAATTACATTTAATCTCTCTTCTCCATACTGAATATGAAACAAAAAGTACTGATCGGTGGTATTAATATTAAAAATTAAACATTTCTTATGTTTAATTCTTATTACAATAGAAAAATAAAAAATATCTTTACAATTACATAGAAATTGTAAGGGTAATATAGATGATGACAACAGGGTGAGTGATGCTCCTGGCCCATGAGCAGTTTGGGCCTGGAGCAAGCAGTCCAGCTCCCTGTCAGCTTCCCTGACATCTTTTAACTACTGACAGCGTCCTGCAGATCAGTCCCTGCTGCAGGAGGACCTCCACCAGTGCGCACCGCATGCAGCCCTGTACATTACGCACCTTTGCCTCAAGAGACAAGTGGAGGCACTTTCTACACATTAAGGTCTGCACGGGGTGAGTGAGCAGCTGCAGGTACTGGGTTACCAGCTGGGCTTAAACCACAACAATGATAAAAAATATTCTATTGGGGTGCTGCTGAAATTTACTACAGACTGCAAAACAGTTACACATTGCAATCTCCTTAACAGTCACAAAAATTGACCAGAAAACTGAAGACAAGAACAGGAGAGGAATTAGAATTAGCATACTGCTGAAGCACAGAGAAAATCAGTAAAACATGTTGTTCCTTACCTGGTATTACTGAAATAGCTTTCAAAGTCCTCAGTACTCTGAAAGTTCGAAGAGCTGAACCCTTGCCCACAGTAGCATAGCTATAAAATTAAATCACCATATAACTGAATGACAAAGATCTAGCTTTTCAGAGCATATGCATATTGAGCACACAGTAATGAATAAAGTATAGCAACTAAATAGGTCAACTATGTCCTAAGGTAGATATATAAAGTTAGGAATCTAAGTCCATTTTTAGATACTGATATAAAATAAAAAGACTTTTGAATAGTACCTCTGAAAAAAAATAAGGGTTTTACTTAATGTTGATTTGGATGCTTAATTTTTGAGTTATTATCCATCAAATGTCAAATAAATATAAAATCTTCACTGTCATAACTGTCAGAGGCTAATCTGATTTAGAACACCGCATGAAAATATATGTTGCAGCTACCTCAAAACTATACAATACATACTTTAGGAGAAGGGTGTTGAGAAAAGCTAGGTTTACAGTATGTTAATTCTGCACCACATGGCTCTCTTTCTATTTAACGGTCAGCTAGGTACTTGAGTATTGAAATTAGTTTCAATTTAATAATTTCAACAATTTGAAAATATCAGAAAATAAAAAGTAGCATATCCAATACAGCACTTAAGCAGGCTTTATATTACATAATATATTTTATAAGGTGTCTTTCATGTCTGAATGGACATGAATTGTGATTCATCTTATGACAGGATCATAACTGGTAACATAATTCCTTAAAATAAAAGCTCTCAATAACAGAATCTGATAAACATTGGTTGGAAAGGACCAGTGGAAAGGAGTTTGACCTCTCACTCAAAGCATGGACTTTGTCAGCAATAGATCAGAACACTATGACTTTGCCTAGCCTGTAACATTCAATAATTCTGAAGTACCTTAAGGAATAACTGCACTTCGGTTAACTGTTCCAAACATTTTTATTTGTTGCATGATAGGACCCCCCTCCAAAAAAAATCCAGAAGGAGATACTATAGTGCAAAGTGATTATATCTGCTTGAATACAAATTAATTAGGAGCATGGGTAGGAAAGTAAGAACATAAAATTAAATTGTTCATACAATTGCTGGACTTCTTGATAGTGGCTGATGATTAACAATGTGTAAGCTCCTTAATAGTTTACAGATTACCCATACTAATACTTTGCTTACATCCATATATATGTGTGTGATGACATCTGAGTTCATAACCTATTATTTACGAAAAAGGAAAAGACAGTCAGGGGTATAACTGTTGATGGCAGCCTTTGCTACAGAACCCATGAGATGGTGGAATTTAAGACCCCAAGAGAAATAAGCAAGATGAACAGCAGAATAACTATCTTGGGCTTTAGGACAGCAGATTTCAGCATGTCCAGGCATCTGAAACTTCCCAAAGGGAAAAGCAACCCCCAGAACATCAGGCTGATCTTCAAGGGTATTTTCTTTAAGGCACAGGAATGTCACACTCTACCCTGTAGAAAGTCAAGCGGATGTGGCAGAAAACCAGATTGGCTGAACAGGGAGCTCCTGCCTAACCTCATATTCAAAAAGGAAGCATGCAGAAGGTTGAAGCAGAGACAGCTCTGGGAAGGGACAGTAAGACATTGCCAAGCATGCAGGGATGAAACAAGGAAAGACAAAGTGTTCAGCTGAATTTGAAGCTAGCAAGAGATATGAAGGGCAACAAGAAGGGCTGCTTTAAGTACATCAGCAGTAAAACGTTAACTAAAGAAACCCTGGGCCTGTTGTTTAAGGGGGCAGGGAACCTAGTGCCAAAGGACATTCAAAAGTTGAAACTACTCAGCATTGCCTTGATTAGTGAGGTCTGCTCTCAGGCCTCCCAGGTCCTTGAGTCTAGTGTATAAATCTGTGGAAGTGAAATATTATCCATGAATCTATGTGCTGTGATTGAAGGGTCCAAATTCAGCTGGTGGCTGGTAACTATTGGCATCCCTCATGGGATCATTAACATCCTGAAGAATGGAACAGAGTTTGCCTTCAAGTTCACAAATACTAACCAGGAGGGAAAGCAGTCAATACAAGGGGTAGCAAATCTGCTCTGCAGCATGAACTTGACAGACTGGAGTTATGGGCTGTAGAAACCTCACGAAGGTCAGCAAAACCAAAGACAAAACCTTGCCCCCAAGTCATCATGACCGCAAGTAGGAGCTCAGGACAGACTAGACAATGAGCAGCTGTGCAGAAAAGGACTTAGGGTCATGGAAGACAAACGGAACATGCATGAGCAGAGTACACTTTGTGAAATAGAATCCCTATCACATGCTGGGCTAGATTAACATGAGTCTAGCTCATATGTTGAGAAGTCTAGTTCACACATTGAAGGAAGTGATTTCTGAGAATGAATCTGTGTCCAGCTTTTTCATTTTCAGACATTTTTCATAGTGGAGCAGGTCCAAACAGGGCTCTAAGAAGGGCAGTAAGATAATCAGATGGTTAAATTATTAGGCTGGATTCGATTTGGTGAGTCTGAAGAAGAGCAGGCTAATGTGCTGGAGCAGGAATCTAATTGCTGGCTGCAGCTGTCCAATGTAAGGGCTTAGAGAAGATGGATCTAGGCTGCTCTTGAAAGCTCACCATGAAAGAATGAGAGGCAGCAGACATCAGTTGCTACACACGACATTTCAATTAGAAATTTGAGAAAAAAAAAACAAAACCAACACAATGTGGTTGGAATAGCTAGCTCAGAGACGTTGCTGAACCTCCATGCTTACAGAAACTCAGAACTTCCCTGCACGAGATCCTGAGCAGCCTAATCTGAATTAGTAACTCTTTTAGCACAGAGCTGAACCATATGATCAATAGAAAGTCCCTTCCAATCTAAATGACTCTACACCCCTAATAAGTTGGAATATGACAACTGAAAATCATTCAGAAATGCTACATGACATATTTGCTTTGAAAGCTCTGAGACTGGATATGAATGAATCTGTTCACCGCTGCAAGTACAACTATTTTGCTTTCAAGATTAACATTCTGTATTAGAGATGCAAATTCTGACTTGGCTTCCTCCTCATTTCTTGTCCACCTAGCTAGTTGCTTTTGACATGAATTTAAAACTGCTCAGAGCAGTATTCCATCTGGCCTATTACCCTGTCTTCAAGAATTACTCACAACAGACTCTTACAGGGGAGTTTAGAATCAAGGCAGTGATGATTCCCGGTTTTAATTTTTCCAGTAAGTTTATAGCTCAGGGATTTCCTGAACAAGACATAGTATATTTGTGTTAAAAGTAACCCTTAATATGTTTTTATCTGGGATTTTGTGCAGATGACTTCCTGATCAAACTAAGTTCTTTCCATCCATAACCTCCCATAGGAGGAATGTAGTGTGAAAAACTACTCCTTTTTTATTCTGCCATATGGCAACTTCATTTGGTGCCTTTAGCTCTTGTTGTAGGAGAAAATAAAATAAAATAAAATGACTTATTCTCTTTTTGGCTTTATGCCACAGACTTCAACTGTATTCCTCCTCTGTATTTTCTTTTTTCATTATAGTTCTACTCTATTTTGTTTGTTATTGTATCGAATAAAAGATATACAGCTTCTCTGTATCTTCTTTTAATTCTTTTGAGATGTCAGGAGCAAAATCACATATTGTCCTAGAGAAAAATACAAGACCACACATAGAAACAACTATATGTTCTGCTTCTTTCTTTATTTCTTACCCATAAGGTCCTCATTTTCTATTTCCTTTTCTGCCCATGACTGCAAACCAGAGAGGTGCTTTCACAAGATCATCTATTTGAATTCCGACATCATCTTTCCAACAAGTGAAAGCCATTTCAGAACCCATAATTGTGTATACAAAGTTCAGTGTGTTTTTCCTTAAGCATTAAGGAAATCATTCTTGGGATTTACCTTTTATTTATCACCATGTCATTCAACACCCTTGTGATCCACTTTGGATCCTTCTCAAATGAGTTTCAGCTGATCCAGATTACAACTAAGAATATAAACACACATGCTTGGGTTTGGCTGTCTATGCAATCACCTCTTTACAAAATTTAAATATGTACTATACTGAGAACAATCAGTTCTAAAATGAGCTTTGCATTTAGGTCTCGCTTTAAGGCCTAGACTATTCTTCTCTTTGCAGATATGCAAAGGATAATTCAACCACAGTAACCCTTAAGCAGGTAGGATGCCAAACACTCTAAAGAACTTCAGCAATATCGAACAGCATTTTATTTGGGTGTTTATCCCTCGAGTGCAAAAGAACACTGAATTCTACTTACATTACGACAGTAGTGACAAAATCCATGCAGTTCCATGGATCTCGAAGAAAGGTAAATTCATTCCAAACAAATCCTGCTGCTACTACTTTTATCAGTATTTCACAAGTATATATGCCAGTAAAAATATATCTGAGAAGGAAAGTACATATTAAAATGCAGTAAAAATATATCTGAGAAGGAAAGTACACATTAAAGTTGCAGAAATAAAAATATTAATGAGATTGAGAAAAATTCAGGCACATTCCTACCTTTTGTATTATTTAGTCACTGGATGGAGATGAAGGTAGAAAATGTGAAGTAAAATAAGACAGGCTACATTAATTTCAGAAATAGCATGAGTATAAGAGGATGCCTTCCTGAATTTTAGTAAGATCTCCATGTAAATCTACAAACACATATGTTCACATAAGTATATGATACTATTTCTGGATGAAGGATGGTTCACATTTCCTTATGAAATGTTTTTATGGCTGTGTTTATGTACTAAAGCAGGTTGGCAAATTACCAAGCCTCAACATTTTGGCAGAACAATAACAGCAAAGACTTATTTTTAGCCTATAATGTTTGCACATTCTATACATTTATTCTGACAAATCCTACATAAAATTAAGCTATCATTATCACTGTGCTTACCCCAAAATTAGAGGAATTAAAATTATAGAAACTCTGAGGCTCCAGCCACATTTTCAAGATTTAATTCTGGAACATAAGCTCAAGTTACACTTGATATATTGTACAATTAGATAGCAAAACATTAAGTGGCTTCCTAATGTAACTGTTTCCTAATGTAAACAGCAAGGAAGAATGGAATTAATATTTATTCCTTTACAGCTTTTTCATCAGCCAGCCATAGCAGAAATTCAGGTTATTGCCTTAGAATGAGAGATATTAAGTTAGAATCCTACTGCACAGTCTCTCTAGAAGGCTTAATCCTTAAAACGAAAAATGGGGCAACCTTCTATGTTACATTAGATGACAAAATTAGGTAACATAGAAAAAAAGGCATATGGTGTAAGCCTCTAAGAAAAGGCACTGAAGCTCCACAGAAGACTGTGTGACATAATAATAAGAATAATCCCAAATCTTGCCCAAGAGGTCTGCCTGAGAATTTTAAAGCCCCAGAACTGAATCACCACATTATTTAAATTCTTCAGTCCAGCATGTTAGTATTCCAAGAAAGAGTGAAAAATGGTAACCAAAATACTTACTCAGTCCAGTAGAGTTCATGTGGAAGCTTTACAGTCATGGAAACACAATTGAGTACCACAGTACATATAATAAAGCAAGTAAATAAGGTGAATAATAAGTTAAGGAAAAAGTTCTATTCTGTAAAAAAATGATGTTCAAAAAAGTTGCTGATATGCACATAATAAATCATACAGGTTTTCAAATAATTTCTTTGGTTTTAAATATGATCAGGACTTTTCATGTATTTTCCAAAGAAAATGATGTCAGCTCAAAATTCTGCTCAGATGGAGAAACTTAACGATCTAAAAATAAAAATGAATTATTTGCATGTGAAGATAGTTTTGGAAGTTAGGACACGAGCAGGACATAATATGCATGACAGAAGAGATGAAGAACATTAGTGAAAAAAATTATTGAGTCCTCTGCTGTCTACTGCTATTTGAAACTTTAGAAACCTTCATTTCTTCCTGGCAGGAGCAGGAGATAAAGAGAAATGGGCCACAATCCCATAATAATGAGGGTTTTAAGCTTTTAAGCCTAGGAAAAACAGATGAAAAAGCTTAATTAACAAGAACCACTCTTCCTTGAAACTGGAAGTCCATATACACATGCCTAAAGGAGAGACTTAAGCTCTGCCACAAGTTCAGAAAGCTTTCTCATTTTATGTGGCAGGTGATGAAAACATACATAAGAAAAAACATGCTTTCATGAAAGTTCACTTATAATAAAAGTTTACCCTAATAAAAGTGTTTGGGTTTTTCTAACAAACATAGGTCTTACATTTAGGGTTTATTTGAAACTGAACAGTAAATTTAGCAATTTCTAATAGCATGAATGCACATTCAAAGTCAGCCATAAGTTGCCATAAAAGGACCTATTTCTTCAAATTAATATAATTCTGAGTGAAATCAGATGTTTGGCAGAAAGAGCAGAAACTATTCAGCCTATGGTTTTACACCTGTGATCCTTCATATTTTTACATACTCCAAACTACATTCATATTATTGCAAAAAAAAAAGATTAAAAAAATGGGTGGCTGTTCAGACCTTTCTAAACTTGAGTGCAGAACACATTTTTGGGGATATCATCAGACTCTTTTGGCAAAGCGTGGCTGAAAATCACACCCTTCCCAGGATGTCACTGGGTTTTGTGGGGTTTTTTAAACTTTTTTTTAAACATCAGGTTTGCAGATTTGAGATTTTTTTGGCATTTTAGTGTATACCAACACTATGCAAATATCTCAAATGTTGTAAACCAACATTCAATATAACTTTAGAAAAATCTCTCTCACAGCTATATGAGCTTACATTTACATGCATATGAACAAAGGAAGAGAACAACAGAAAAGGTTACAGTATATTTTAAAACTGAAGTAAGGGAAACCAATAAAAGGATATGAATGGATCATAATTTTAATTGCTGCTTTTCTGACTGGATTAAAAGGACTAATTATACACAAGGCAGATGTGGCAGTAAACCGGTAAATAATCCTACTTTTGTTTAATACCATAAAAGTCTAGGGAAAAAAGTAAAGGAAAAAAAAAAAGATTCATACAGTATCAAACATTTTAATGAAACAAAATTTCACCCCAAAATTAAATGTTCAGGTTTTCAAATCTGCATCTAGAACGATATCTAACTGCAATTAAGAGTAATGCTTTCCTGTATTCTTACTTGGAGCTATGGTTTGACGATACCACATTTTGAAAGAAAGACAGCAGCTACATAAATCACAGAATCATAGAATGGTTTGGGTTGGAACAGATCTTAGAGATCATCTAGTTCCAACACCCCCTGCCATGAGCAGGAACAAAAGTTAAAAGACAAAAGTTCATTATTGCCTGTGAGGAAGAAGTTAGTAATGAGAATGAATTTGAAGAGCAAATGATGATACTCACTTGGTCAAAGTAATCAAAAGATATTATCTGGGGACTGCAACAACGGTGTTAATCATAGTCAAAAGTACCTTACTCTTGGATAGCTTTATAGGCTACAAAAAAATTATTTACAAAACACGTTGTGTACGACTGCCAGAATCTAGTCCTAAACTAAAAATTTTAGTTTTGAAATACATCTAAATTACCAAGTAGCACTGTAAATTTCCTCTAAGCTACCTTAAGGTCTACGAAGCTCCAAGTATTTTTGCCACAAGAAGTAAAAATGAAATCTCTTAACTAAAAAAGCAGAGTTCGTTACCTTTTCTGTAAACATCTTGAACTGAATCAGACTTAGTTTCTCTTCATCAAGACTATTACTGATTACATTGAGAAAAGAAATCTCAGGAAGAAAAAAGCTTTCTGCATGTTCTCTGATTAAATTATTATATTCCAGTAACTTGCTGGTATAAAGTAAAGAAAGCAACATAGGGCTGGATGGAAGCTTCTGTTCCTCAGGTCAAGTACCCCTTACTTAATCATACAATGGACATCTAATTTAGAAGGGATTTCTCTAGTACCTACCTTACAAAGTCCTGTAGGCTACAGCACAAACCACTTTGAAATATCACGGAGAGTATGCAATATAAATATGGTACAATAAACAAAACTGATGAGACATAAAATAACTGGAAATTAATTTACTATAATGAAAATATGTGGGTTTGCTACACAGAGTACTTGAAATATCTCACATATGTCTCCCCCAATTTGTTTAATATTTGTAATTCAGCAAAACAAATGCAGTAAGTCATTTACTGTTTGACAGGCACTGTTTATATGACAGTAAGCTCAGCCCCAAAGACATCATATAAGTGGCTCTGGAAAACAAAGTATCAGTGATCACAGAATATATTTCCTATCCAATTGTATCTACCAAGTGTATCAGGTTTTCACAATTAATCCTAATTGCTGACTGGAACTTGAAATACCTTTTCGTTACACAATGTGCAGCATACCTTAGTACTCCTGACCCAAAAACCACCAATAATATTTGAAGAATATCTTCGTCTACAGAAGAATCAAAACCCACCAGCTCCTGAATAGAGGCTTTACTATCTCTTAAGCGTTCAGAAGACAAAATTGAATAAAATAATGCTTTTGAAAGTTTTAACCTTGTGATCACTGTAGTATGAATCAATATCCTCCAGGGGTTCCCCAATGAGCTCCACAGGAAGATCCCCATACAGAGATGGCAGTTTTTTGCAGGTTTTCAGATCAAGCTTAGGAGTAAGCTTATTTTTGTCAACTTCTTTGTCCTCATTCTCCCTTTTAGCTTTGGCTTGCTGGGATTTTTTCTCAGCAATTCTTTTCTCGATTGCTGCCAAGGACTCACGGGTGAAAGGTCGAAAGTTGCTAGTTTCTGAAGAGCAAAACAAGGGATCCATTTTTCCTTCTATATGTTTATTTCCAGTGCTAGAAGTAACTTAAAAGAGAAAACTATGGACAATTAGAAAATAACAGAAATAATGCACAAATTAAAAATAATATCAGGGAACATAAATAGAAAATGTCCTTGTGTTTCAACCTAGTTCCAGCTTGTATTATAATCAATTCTGAGTCTCAAATTATTTCTATCCACTCCCTTGTCAATAGCCACTGAATATTTCCTGTGAGCACCTGGATCTGAAAAAATAAAGGGTAAAATATCTGTTCAGTTGGGGTTTAATACACATTTAGCAGATTCTTTGATATGGGGAAAAAAAGAACAAAAATGTATCCATGTGGTAGGATTTTGTTTGAAAGCACAAAATCAAATATACTAGCTCAAATATTTATCTCACATGAACAACTGTTCCTCAGCTCACCTGGAATACAAAAAAAAAAAAAAACAAACCAAGAAAACATCTAACAAAGCACCTTATGAAATAGGGTAGGAATTATCTCTTTTCTGTATTGTACAATGCCTTGAAAAAAGCTACTGCTATAACCTACCCAGTTTCAATAAAAATACTTCTGCTCTCTCATCACCATTTTCTTCTATTTAACTACAATTAATTATGAACAGATTTGAAAGATTTTAGTTCTTTGTAAAATCAAACTTGGACATTTTATTGGACTACTGCTGTTTCTAAAATACATGGCCATTTCTTGAACCCCACACTTTTTCCCCTACTCTTTGCTTCCCACTCCCCCCAGCCCCAGCAAAACCTTTGTGCTTGGATAAATATGTATCAGTGGGGTCTTTTTTTGGTTGCTTTGTTTTGTTTTTTTTTAACAGATGTAATATACAGAGTTATTCACGCTATCAACATAATCAAATCTAATCACTCAAAATCAGAAATGCATGCCACAGGCTAGACTGTGCATTACCTAAAAATCCTGAAAAATACCCCTCAACAGCATTTTATGAGAAAAACATTCCAGATTTGTGTTGGCAAAGAAATTCCATTATGTCAGGATAAGTGTAACTCAGGTTAGGTAGTAGTAAAGCCAATTTGAGGGCATAAGCCCACATAACAAAACAAGAAGACAAAGAAGTAGTCAGTAATTAATCTGAGAAATATATTAATGTTTAGTAAAATGTCACACGTCAAATACAGGAATAGCTACATGCTTACAGCAATAGAATAGGACTACATTAAAGACATGTGTTCTTAGGTACATTGTGTCACTGAAATTGGTATCACCCATACCTTAAATAAGACCATATCGAAGACTCCAAAACATGTGTGCATGTATCCTATATATATATACACACACTTGTATGCATACATCCCTGAATATTTTAATGAAACATACATAGGTTTAAATTAAGTAAATTAGCAGTTGAGATTTCTCATAGTATACAAACATTTAGCAAAACCAAAATACTTACATCCCCTTCAAAATAAAACACCTTCACACCGATTTCTTTTGCTAATATCAGCTAGCTTGTATCTTCAAAGAGACAGAGTCTTCATTTTCCCACCTGCACAGTTTCATACAAAAGAACATCCTGTCTACCTATCTAGCTCCCATGCAGGAAGTTTCCTTTTGTATCAGGATGCCTGTGGGAGGGATGGAGGGAGGAGCTTAGTTGCTCTTCTGACAACAGTAAATGAAATTTTGTGATCTCACTGGGAACGCTGTAAAAAAGGGAAAAGTGCATGGGTGATACTTTTGAAGACTAATCACCTAAATATTAATCAATTATTTTATTTCTGCTGAAATCATGTTTATTGAAAGCAAAGAAGGGTGTTTTTTTTTTGTTCAGCTGGAAATACATTTGTAAAACCATACGAAAACAAGATCTGCTGTTTTGCATTTCATTCTGAGGTTTTAACCAACTGAACTTTCCAGCATGCATTAAATATAGGCACAAAATTTGCTCTTTATTGAAAGCTTTCAGTTAGAAATTAAGAGTTATATATTACTGTGTTTTATTCTTTTTATTTTTGTATTATTCCCAGGCTATAATGTATGTTCATTAAACCTTACAAAAACAAAATCTTGAAGTCAAATATACTATTTCATAAATACAAGATCAGTGCTCAAAGTACAGTCAGTATCACATTCTACTGTTCTTCCATCAGAATACACAAACCATGTTTTAATAAAATAAAACTCACAACACTTACCCTCATATCTGAAATCACATTTATTTAATTGAAAGTTATATATAAAGCCTGCTAGCAACAGCTATTGGATAGCAACATGTTTACAGTAATGGTAAGCCCTACTGCTAAGTAGTTATTTCTCTTACAGTTATATCCACAGAACCCATTACTGTCTAATTTTTTTTTTTCCCCCCACTCTTTATTGGGTAGATTGCAAATCTCTTCTATTGTCTTTCCTGATGATAAGAGAGCTACTATGGGGTTTTCTGGAAGAATTCTACCAAAGGAACTATGCTGTCCTTAAAAGCCAGGCAGCCTTAATGCACGCAAAGAGAAAAACAATTGTGATCAAACACTTTGCTTGATAGATATCATCAGCAAAGGAAACAACTAAAGATGGTTTTAAAGAAATAGAGCACTAAATGTTCTGTGATGCAAGCAACAATAAACCATTTTAAGTTATAGTGTAAGTTATTCTTCCAGAAAGCAACAGTATGTTCTCGAGACAAGTTCAATTAAGAGACCAGAATTTTAAAGATCAGTAGAGCATCCTTCTATAATAGCTTTATATCTGCTACAATAAAAAGCAGCCACATTTATAATGCTGTACCAGCTAGTATAACTAAATACAAAACAGATCCTTACCTAGACTTTTTTTTTCTGCTGTGCCTTCTTCATCACTCTGCCCCTGTGAAAAATGAGGCACAAGGAGAAAAGACAGAACTCAAACTCCTTCTGTCCTTTTTGCATACTACAATATTTACAATCAGAAAAAAGGAAGGCATGGAAAATATCAAAATTTGTATTTGTGGCTGTTAAAAGAAAGCCTTGGGACTTGCAGCTAAGAGGAAAACATTTAGACAAGTATCTTTTCTTATGTTACTGTGTAAAGTTTACCTTCTCCTGTTAGGAAGGGAGTTTCTTAAAGGGGCAAGGAGAGGGCAGAAAATTTACTTCATAGTATGAACATTGTTTTCTTCCCAGTTTCATTCCTCAGTATAAAAAGAGCAAGCAAGCAAACATCAAACAACAAAACCTAAAGTTTAATATATATATATAAAGAAGTTCATTATAGAAATAACTAACTCTGTTAATTTCATCACCATGTTCTTGACATGGATCTGTCTCTTCCATTAACTGCAAAGTATAGCACACTTCTTTTTTCTTCCTATTGCCAGGGCACAAGAAAAACATTTCTTTCTTGGTAGCATTAGTACATCACCATTAGTTTAATGACTAAGAATGTGCAGATGTCAAAAGCTGAAAAAAACAGATTTTTACATAATCTTGTGACTGTGCCGTAACTCGAAACACTAGATGCTGCTCTAAATTACTGATAAATACAGTTATTAAAGATATTAAGGCATTTGACAATTCATGCACACTGCGTGACACTCTTATCCTCAAATTCTATCTGTCCGCTTCATCTGTGAGCTTCTATCTGTGAAGTACCCTGTGGTATAATCCTAGAAATCTATGTCTCCTGTATTCAGTAGGATAACAGACATACATCAGGTACCTCCATCTTAGAGGGAGAAGTGTTCATATGAGGTTTCTCTTCCTATTTTTCCCATTTATAGGAATGAGACTGCTGTTTAAGTTTCTAACAAATTCAGCATGATTTCCCTCCTTTAGCTATCTGATTCAGACCTGCCAGTGACCAGGAAGCCCTTACTATATGTGAGAATACTGAAATTCACGCCGTTGAAAACCCAATCCTTCTCACCGCATCCCCCTTAAAATACAGCTGTATCTTTACAATACAGTCTATAACTGGCTAAAATTACAAGATACCAGATGGATAGGATAGGGAATGGATGCTAAATTTCAAACAAAAAAAGTCACTATCATCAACTAATGTTTCTGAAATCTGTATGTTGAGTTATTCGATAGCCACGCTATTATTCACACAACACTCATGCACAGAAAGTTTGAGTAAAAAAGTGGTTTAGAGAGAGAAAATAAATACACTTATAAAAATTTCAATAGAAAAATCAACATCACTTTACTTACACACTAAGAACATCTAGTAACTTCAACCAGAATAGTTGGAAGAAAAATTACTTGAGCCTGAGAAAGGGTTTTCATGTTTTCAAGAAATGGATCCTGCAAAACAAAACATACAATACATAACTAGATCATGTCATCCACTGATGAAGAACGCTATTAAATTTGATATCAAGTATCTTTTGACTGTATAAGTTCTGTTAAGATTCTCACAGAGACAAATCATGACTAATTATGGAGCTGATTGCACCTTCTGATATAGTTCCCTGCCCATTAGTTGACACTGACCACAAGTGATTTTCAAACAAACAAGTGACGCTGATGATCCTCCATTTGAATCAGCAAAAGCAAACCACTGTTTCATACAGAAACCCCCACAAAACACAGAAAATTCAACTGTGTACATAACAGCAAACAGGTATAAATACAGACATAAAATTACTCTCCTAAAGGCAGAATCTCAATCTCTGGAGAGCAGGGAATGTAACTCATGCTGACTGAGCACAGGTATGGTTCATTTATAGTTTCCTTAATGATAGCAACACCACAGGAATAGAGAATGTCTCATTTGTGTATAATAAATACAAATCATAATCACAGCAAAAAGCTGATATCAACAGAAATCAGCTGTTATTTTTGCCTCCTGAACACATGCAATGAAAAAAGTTTTCCAATCAACTTTCAAATTAAACAGTTCCTCATTAATGCAACTTTCTGAAATCTGGTAAGCCTGCAAAAATATCATGACAGACAGAATTTCTGAGTAAAAAATCATAGGTTTTCCACATTAAGAATCTGATTTTCTCTTAAGCCTTCAAATCAAATGCATGCTGCCCTGGAGCAACAGCACTATATACAAATTTTCAGAGTGTGAACACATCATTT